TGCTCAGGATTTTCATTTATTTACAACTCCTAATTCATTAGCTGTACATTAGGTGATTGTTTATTTTGCTAGGCCTTTAGTAAGACCTCAGTTTAGAATCATTTGTTTTACAGTATACATCTTCTTTACAGAATTCAAAGTATTTCTACAAAAGAAACAAGGGAAGGCATCAGTTATTTAACAGGATGTGATCTCCAGCAGGCCTCTGACATCGTTGAAATTCCAGCTCCAAAAACAATTCCAAAGTATGATCATCTCCCTTCAAGTCAGCTCTTAAATGCTGAAGAGATCTATTTTGATTTGGAAACTACTGGACTCGGTAAGAACCTAGATTTAAATGTTAAGTCAATGCTGATGGTTATGGCCCTCTTCCGGTATTTTTTTGTATGCATTTTGAAATAATAATACTAGAGTTATCATAGAAAACAAATAGAAATGGAGACTCTTGCATAATTCCAGTATTGGTACAAGTAGTTGAGCATGTTTTATATCTTTCAAAACTTTACCCTTCCTTCTGAGGACACTGATTAAAAAGAAATTGCATATTCTGAAAGAATTCAAGCATCTTTGAAGGAGTTAAGTCTTGGGGAAGAGGGTTACTATTATTATAATGTTTCAAAATTTTTTAAATCATGCATACTGTAAACGGATTACATTTGGCTGTGTATTCTAATAGCGGACCGCTAAATCAAGTACAACGCTAAATGTCTTGCACATATACACATAAAGAAGAAAATGAAGAAATGCACTAAATCAAATCTACGCTTACTTATTCAAAAGTCAATTTCTTCCAAATATCATACATGCTAAATATAATACATTTACAATATATCAATTTTTATATGTATTTTTTTTTAATGCTTTTAATTTTAAAAACTTGAATTTACTTACGGAATGAATTAAATAGCAACCCAAATTATACTGTATTACCTGGGTTGGGGCAGTTTATGCTTTCTAAACCTCAAAGCGGTTTATAAAAAAGCGTAAACTGCTCCAACCCAGGTTGTAGCAGTATAATTTGGGTTGCCATTTAATTCACTCCTTATGATTTAATTTTCAATCATCAAGAATATAAAACAAGACAGATTTTCTCTTTATAATGCCTTCAAATAGTTCATATTTTAAACGTAACGTCAAGCGGATTGATACAATTTGATGTAAGTCATTGTGACGTAAGCAAACCAGATTATACAATTTAGATTAATTTTTTATCCAATCAAATGATGCGTTACAATCAAAATTAAATTATTTGTTTTTTTATTTTTAGCAAGGGATTCTCATATTGTGCAGTTGTCTGCAGTTAGAAATGATGAGGTTTTCAACAAATACATCATTCCAGAAAAACCAATGTCCTCAAAAGCTACAGAAATTACTGGAATAAAAGTAGTCAACAATAAAATGTACCACAATGATGAGGAAGTTGAGACAGTCAGCATTAAGGATGCACTGATCCAGTTTATCGGCTTCATAAAGAAATCGGAGTCAGATGCTGTTCTAGTTGGACACAACTCCAAAGTGTTTGACCTTCCTGTGCTGTTCAACATTTTGAGTAAATTAAACATTTTGGAGGCATTCTCATCTGCAGTCATTGGTTTCATTGATACCTTACCTCTTTTCAAAATTTCGCATCCAAACCTTTCATCATACTCACAGTTACACCTCTTCGAAGAAATTCTACAAGACAAATACAGTGCGCATGACTCATTACAGGATGTCTTAGCCTTGAAGAGATTGTTGGACCATACAGGACCTTCCCCTGAAGTCAAACTTGCTGCATCTTTCACTTCAAACTCTGCCTTTGCCATATTCCATCACAAGAACACAACAAAAAGTCTAATGAGCACACTAAAGCCTTTATTGGACCAAAAGGTGATTTCGAATGGAATGGCAAATAAGATTGCCAGCAGTGGACTCTCCTTATCACACTTACAACTGGCTTATCGCAGAAATGGTAGGGAGGGAGTACAGGATGTGCTGACAGAGATAACAGATAACAGTGTGCGTGTGACAAAATCTAGAAAAATCATTGATTCTGTTGCAGATTTTCTCAGATCTGAGCAGTAACGCAGTTGTATGATGTTCTTTGTATGTAACTATATTATTGTTTGTTTGGTTGTTTGTTTGTTTGTTTGTTTGATTTCTGTGAGCCAGTGCTCACTAGTAATACCCTCAATCTGATGTGAATATGGACAGACAGGAATAAACAAAGTTAATTGACAATGGATTCGTACAAAAATGAATCCAACCATATTACATGTCTAAAAAATTTCAAGCATCTGTGATGAGTAGTTGTGGAGAAAACTGTGACAAAAATTTATTATTTGTGGTACAGACAGATGCACAGATAAACAGGAAGTTGACATCAGATTCGTCTAAAACCAATTCCAACTGTGATGAGTAGTTGTGGAGAAAACTGTGACAAAAATTTACTATTTGTGGTACAGACAGATGCACAGATACACAGGAAGTTGACATCAGATTCGTCTAAAACCAATTCCAACTGTGATGAGTAGTTGTGGAGAAAACTGTGACAAAAATTTACTATTTGTGGTACAGACAGATGCACAGATAATTAGGAAGTTGACATCAGATTCGTCTAAAACCAATTCCAACATACGGCATGTCTAAAGAAAGAGTGTGCTAAAACTTAAAACATCTGTGATGAGCAATTGAGCATGATGAGTGATTGCTGAGAAAAATTGGACAAAAATTTGTTACTGACAGAAAGACACACAAGTGTAGAAAGAAAAACAGTATAAACCCTGTGCTTCAGAGCAGGGGTATAATTATGCCATGTACTATTGTTTTTTTCAATGTTTATTGTTATAGGTAGTTTGTAGTTGAACAAATCATTTTCTTTCCATTCAAAATAAATCCTTATTTAGAAATTGACAACAATTTATTTTCATTACCCATATTTTGAGCATACCTGAAAAATTAAAAGGTGTTCTTTGATATTTATTGAAGAAGACTATGTGCATATTAAATTGAAACATGCACAAATGAATATGAATGGACATTCTGTAAATGTTTTATATTGTGTATGACCTATACTTGGCAGTAATCTATTTTCAACAATCGGGCTAGGTTTGATTTCTAGCAAAATTTTTGTTGTGTACTTATAAATACGCAGGTCATAAAGTTAGCGATGTTCTTGATATAGCAACAGCAGTTTTCTGTCAAAGGCACAAATAATCTAATGTTTACAGTATATAAAAATGTTGTATGTTACTTGTAAAGGTAACAATTTGATAGATCTCTATCACAAGAAACATGGATCTGAATAAACTTCAATAAAGTTAAATAGTTGATCATTTTTCATCTTGAATAAAGAACATTTTGTTTGATACAATGAAATCAAGAGAAATTTACATTGCATGACGCAAATTAAACTAGCTGTTATTGGTACAACTAGTAGTTCAAAACATTCATTTAGTCTTTTTTTTTATTCCCTTCATTTTCAATAACTGGAAATTTGCTGTGAAACGTTTATAGTGAAATGATTACTAGGTGGTGGTTTTTAGCTCACCTGACACGGAAGCCCGAGTGAGCTTTTCTGATCAAAGATTGTCTGGCAATCGGTCTTTTGTCAGGGGTGTGTAAAGTTTGATATATTTTATTTCTTTGAAAGACCAACTGGCCCAATTTCAATTAAGGGGATTTAACTTTGTTCATAGGAAGTGTCTCGCCCTTTTGAAGTGGGGGGTAATTAAGAATTTTGGTGGCATTATTCAAAAATCTTCTGAAGAACCACTGAAGAAAAGATGACATTTACGTGAAATTTAGCTTCATTGCATACCCTATATTCAATACTTCTTGGGGGAAGGATGGGCCACAAGTGGAGCAAAGTATGCATAGAAAAATATTTGAAATGTCTGTAAAATTCTCTCAACTCAGAACAGGCAAAGCCATGATTAGTCAAACTATTAAAGAATTATCCTCAGGTAATGTGAGTGGGCATGAAAATAGATATTAACCACCCCCCCCCCCCACCATCCCCTCTTTCCCCTAAGTCTTAAATAGTCCCCCCAAAAAATGAAATGTCCCTTTTCTTTTAAAGAAAAAGACTGAGTTTCAATACACTTATTCATTTAGGCAAATAGAAAATCCCCCAAAATCATGGAAGAGGCAAACAGAATCAATCCGAATTTCCTCTGGTCAAAATTTGAGAAAAATGGGTCAGAGGAAATTCATGTTAAAATATCTTTAAAAGTAACTCATATTGATATACAATTTTTTACACCATTTTTAAGCACTTTATCTTAGTAACAAATGTATAGAAAAAAAAATACTTTTTAATTATTTCTAATTTATTTTCCAAGCTCATTTTATAAGCCCTGTGAAAGGAAAAAAAGGCATTTTTTAGTATGAGGGTGTGTCCTTTTTGATAAGAATTAAATTTTATCTTCTATCAATTATCATTCTTATTTTATCAATATTTATATTCCCTATGACTACTTTTAAAAGATAGCAAAAGGTTGGAATGATTTGAAAACATTTCATTGTTTAAAATAAATATTAAATATGTTGAACACAAATTTGGTCTTTTTCTTTACTAAAATGCGAGAATTACCTCCCTTTGTCAGGAACACCTATAGCTTGAAAATTAAATCATATTCATATGAATTTTCCTGGCTTAAAATAATTTATTATGTTTATTCTTACAATTAAAAAAGAAAAAAATAATTTTCAATTATTTTTAATGTCAGAAGCCAAACACCTTAAGCAAAAAAGTTTTAATTAAGCTAATTTTGAAAATCTTATGCATGTTTTGAACAAGTTGAATTATACCTGCTCACTTTCCATTGTTAGTAGTAATTAGAAAACAATATGCACTTTACTTAATCTATTTTGTTTTGCCTCCTGTGTCAGTAAGTTTCTACCTTTCGTTAAATTACTTGGAAGAGAATTGTGACTTAGGTGAGCATCATGACTCAGGGGCCTATGGTTTTAATAAGAATTATCTTGTATGTAGTAGTGTGGTGGAATATTTTTTTCAGATTAAGTTGGAGGGTTTTAAGAAGGAAACAACAGAAGACATATCCACACCTTCAAAGAAGAGGAAAAAGACGATAAACTTCCCTGTGGATCTGGATCTAGAACATGTCCTGGGATCCATGCCCAGAAAGGTTTGACAAAAGGGGGCACATTTATATGAGGTGTAAATGAATTAGAAAGTTTATTTGCTATTTGATTGAAGTTATATTTCAATTTTGTTTCGGATTTAATTTCTGGAATGAAGATAATGTGTAATGAGTTAACAACTGTTTTTCTTTGTGTGAATGTAATATTCGACAACTCAATCCTGTAGGTTTTCAAGCTTCAAAGGATCACACCTAGCCCCAGTACATTATCCTTACCTGAGAATCTCCGTGTCAGAGACAGTGTAGAGCGAGTCCTGAGGTTACCCTCTGTGGCCAGTAAGAGATATCTCACCAACAAGGTCAGGGCACTTAATGGATAGATAAAAGTGGAAAGAAGAAAAATTACTTTATGATAAATTTATTATTAAAGATTCCGGTATGTACTTTTTCAGTAGGGATTCTGCCTTTACTGTGATGGAAATTTTATGATACTAATATAAGGATTACAAATTTTCTGGATTATATTTTGTTTGTGTAGGTAGACAGGTGTGTGACAGGTCTGGTTGCCCAGCAACAGTGTGTTGGTCCTCTTCATACACCTTTGGCAGATGTTGGTGTGACAGCACTTAGTTACCTTGACAAGGTAGTTACATCAATTTCCTGATTAGTTTTTTTACTGTGATTCTTTACTGTGATAGAGTGGCTCCTGTACATGTACTGATATAGGAGAACAGCCAGTCAAAGGCCTGATAACTGGTAAGTCTTTAATGTGATTCTTTACTGTGATAGGTTGGTTCCTGTACTGCTAAAGGAGAGCAGCCAGTCAAAGGCCTGATAACTAATACATCCTTAATGTGATTCTTTACTGTGATAGGTTGGTTCCTGTACTGCTATAGGAGAACAGCCAATCAAAGGCCTGATAAGTCCAGCCTGTGGAGCTCGCCTGTCTGTAGCAGAGGCTCTCACAAACCTGGTGTTTGCTAAAGTCACAGGCATCAAGGTAAATTGTTTATACACATAGTTCATTTAAAACTAAAAAATTTTAATCCCTGGTTTTTAAACATGAATTGATAGAAATAGGGGAAATAATATTTGGAACTAAAATTCGTCTACAAGGATGACGTATTGAGCAGTTTTCACAATGTTTAATGCAATCAAACAATACTTGTACATGTACTTGATTATGTGAGTGAGGTTTAGCAATTACATATATAATCCTTCTATTGTTGGGAATGTGACAGTTCAAATTTTCTCACTATACAGGACATTAAATGTAGTGGAAACTGGATGTGGCCTGCCAAACTTCCAGGAGAGGGTGCTGCTTTACTGGAGGCATGCTCAGCCATGTGTGATATCATGAAGCATCTTGGGATAGCTGTGGATGGTGGGAAAGATTCACTGAGCATGGCAGCCAGAGTGGGAGATCAAACTGTTAAGGCACCAGGTACTGCAGGAAGGAAAGAATGAATGATCAAAATCGTTTAAAATATAGAGGTCATGTTATGAGAGCATGGAATTATCATATAAATGTTTTATTCCTGTTGTTTTTAAAAAATATATACAGTAAAACTTTGTTATAGCGAAGTCACTGTGACCTGTAAAATTACTTCGCTATATCCGTAAGTCGTTATATCCATATACGGAATTCATTAAATTTACATAGCTGGGGATCCAAGATAACTTTGCTATATCCGTGAATTTGCAATATCCGTGTTCGTACTAAACGAGTTTTGCTGTACCTGTGAGTGGTCAAGAAATTCAAGTTAACTTAAAAATTATAATATTGTGTTGAAAGAACATTTTGATATCTTTCTGTGCTGTTTCCACAGATATTACACTGCTTGTTGTTTCAAGGGTGTACACTTAAGATATCTGCTTACAATGTATGTATAGACTTTCCCATTTACTTTTGTGTCAGAGGTACTTGTGTGATATCTACCTATTCAGCTTGTCCAGGTTTTCACTGATTGTGGAGTGAAAGTATACATTTGTGATATCTGCCTATGGTGTTTGTAAGGATATCTGACTAACTCTTATGTTGTAGTTAACACACGAAATCTGCTAACGCCTCTTGTCCATATTTTACACTCTCATATTGTAGATACACATACATCTGCTGCTTGTGTGGATATCTTTCTAACTTTTGTATTATTGGTACACTAGTGTTATCTGCCTATGCTGCTTGTTCAGATATTATGCTGACTCTTGAATTGTAGGTACACTTGTGATATCTGCCTATGCTGCCTGTCCAGATATTACACTGACTCTTGTATTGTAGGTACACTAGTGATATCAGCCTATGTTGCTTATATAGACATCTCTCTCTTGAATTGTAGGTACACTTGTGATATCTGCCTATGCTGCCTGTCCAGATATTACACTGACTCTTGTATTGTAGGTACACTAGTGGTATCTGCCTATGCTGCTTGTATAGATATTACACTGACTCTTGTATTGTAGGTACATTTGTGATATCTGCCTCTGCTGCCTGTATAGATATCTCTCATATTGTAGGCACACTAGTGATATCTGCCTATGCTGCGTGTCCAGATATTATACTGACTCTTGTATTGTAGGTACACTTGTGATATCTGCCTATGCTGCTTGTATAGATATCTCTCTTGTATTGTAGGTACCCTTGTGATATCTGCCTATGCTGCTTGTATAGATATCTTTCTTGTATTGTAGGTACACTAGTGATATCTGCCTATGCTGTTTGTCCAGATATTACACAGACTCTAATATTGTAGGTACACTTGTGATATCTGCCTATGCTGCTTGTATAGATATCTTTCTTGTATTGTAGGTACACTAGTGATATCTGCCTATGCTGTTTGTCCAGATATTACACAGACTCTAATATTGTAGGTACACTTGTGATATCTGCCTATGCTGCTTGTCCAGATATTACACTGACCGTTACTCCTGATCTCAAGTGTCCAGACAACAAAGGTTACCCTTGTGATATCTGCCAGATATTACACTGACTCTTGTATTGTAGGTACACTTGTGATATCTGCCTATGCTGCCTGTCCAGATATTACACTGACTCTTGTATTGTAGGTACACTAGTGATATCAGCCTATGTTGCTTATATAGACATCTCTCTCTTGAATTGTAGGTACACTTGTGATATCTGCCTATGCTGCCTGTCCAGATATTACACTGACTCTTGTATTGTAGGTACACTAGTGGTATCTGCCTATGCTGCTTGTATAGATATTACACTGACTCTTGTATTGTAGGTACATTTGTGATATCTGCCTCTGCTGCCTGTATAGATATCTCTCATATTGTAGGCACACTAGTGATATCTGCCTATGCTGCGTGTCCAGATATTATACTGACTCTTGTATTGTAGGTACACTTGTGATATCTGCCTATGCTGCTTGTATAGATATCTCTCTTGTATTGTAGGTACCCTTGTGATATCTGCCTATGCTGCTTGTATAGATATCTTTCTTGTATTGTAGGTACACTAGTGATATCTGCCTATGCTGTTTGTCCAGATATTACACAGACTCTAATATTGTAGGTACACTTGTGATATCTGCCTATGCTGCTTGTATAGATATCTTTCTTGTATTGTAGGTACACTAGTGATATCTGCCTATGCTGTTTGTCCAGATATTACACAGACTCTAATATTGTAGGTACACTTGTGATATCTGCCTATGCTGCTTGTCCAGATATTACACTGACCGTTACTCCTGATCTCAAGTGTCCAGACAACAAAGGTTACCCTTGTGATATCTGCCAGATATTACACTGACTCTTGTATTGTAGGTACACTTGTGATATCTGCCTATGCTGCCTGTCCAGATATTACACTGACTCTTGTATTGTAGGTACACTAGTGATATCAGCCTATGTTGCTTATATAGACATCTCTCTCTTGAATTGTAGGTACACTTGTGATATCTGCCTATGCTGCCTGTCCAGATATTACACTGACTCTTGTATTGTAGGTACACTAGTGGTATCTGCCTATGCTGCTTGTATAGATATTACACTGACTCTTGTATTGTAGGTACATTTGTGATATCTGCCTCTGCTGCCTGTATAGATATCTCTCATATTGTAGGCACACTAGTGATATCTGCCTATGCTGCGTGTCCAGATATTATACTGACTCTTGTATTGTAGGTACACTTGTGATATCTGCCTATGCTGCTTGTATAGATATCTCTCTTGTATTGTAGGTACCCTTGTGATATCTGCCTATGCTGCTTGTATAGATATCTTTCTTGTATTGTAGGTACACTAGTGATATCTGCCTATGCTGTTTGTCCAGATATTACACAGACTCTAATATTGTAGGTACACTTGTGATATCTGCCTATGCTGCTTGTATAGATATCTTTCTTGTATTGTAGGTACACTAGTGATATCTGCCTATGCTGTTTGTCCAGATATTACACAGACTCTAATATTGTAGGTACACTTGTGATATCTGCCTATGCTGCTTGTCCAGATATTACACTGACCGTTACTCCTGATCTCAAGTGTCCAGACAACAAAGGTTACCCTTGTGATATCTGCCAGATATTACACTGACTCTTGTATTGTAGGTACACTTGTGATATCTGCCTATGCTGCCTGTCCAGATATTACACTGACTCTTGTATTGTAGGTACACTAGTGATATCAGCCTATGTTGCTTATATAGACATCTCTCTCTTGAATTGTAGGTACACTTGTGATATCTGCCTATGCTGCCTGTCCAGATATTACACTGACTCTTGTATTGTAGGTACACTAGTGGTATCTGCCTATGCTGCTTGTATAGATATTACACTGACTCTTGTATTGTAGGTACATTTGTGATATCTGCCTCTGCTGCCTGTATAGATATCTCTCATATTGTAGGCACACTAGTGATATCTGCCTATGCTGCGTGTCCAGATATTATACTGACTCTTGTATTGTAGGTACACTTGTGATATCTGCCTATGCTGCTTGTATAGATATCTCTCTTGTATTGTAGGTACCCTTGTGATATCTGCCTATGCTGCTTGTATAGATATCTTTCTTGTATTGTAGGTACACTAGTGATATCTGCCTATGCTGTTTGTCCAGATATTACACAGACTCTAATATTGTAGGTACACTTGTGATATCTGCCTATGCTGCTTGTATAGATATCTTTCTTGTATTGTAGGTACACTAGTGATATCTGCCTATGCTGTTTGTCCAGATATTACACAGACTCTAATATTGTAGGTACACTTGTGATATCTGCCTATGCTGCTTGTCCAGATATTACACTGACCGTTACTCCTGATCTCAAGTGTCCAGACAACAAAGGTTACCCTTGTGATATCTGCCAGATATTACACTGACTCTTGTATTGTAGGTACACTTGTGATACTCTGCCTATGCTGCCTGTCCAGATATTACACTGTCTCTTGTATTGTAGGTACACTAGTGATATCAGCCTATGTTGCTTATATAGACATCTCTCTCTTGAATTGTAGGTACACTTGTGATATCTGCCTATGCTGCCTGTCCAGATATTACACTGACTCTTGTATTGTAGGTACACTAGTGGTATCTGCCTATGCTGCTTGTATAGATATTACACTGACTCTTGTATTGTAGGTACATTTGTGATATCTGCCTCTGCTGCCTGTATAGATATCTCTCATATTGTAGGCACACTAGTGATATCTGCCTATGCTGCGTGTCCAGATATTATACTGACTCTTGTATTGTAGGTACACTTGTGATATCTGCCTATGCTGCTTGTATAGATATCTCTCTTGTATTGTAGGTACCCTTGTGATATCTGCCTATGCTGCTTGTATAGATATCTTTCTTGTATTGTAGGTACACTAGTGATATCTGCCTATGCTGTTTGTCCAGATTACACAGACTCTAATATTGTAGGTACACTTGTGATATCTGCCTATGCTGCTTGTCCAGATATTACACTGACCGTTACTCCTGATCTCAAGTGTCCAGACAACAAAGGTTACCCTTGTGATATCTGCCAGATATTACACTGACTCTTGTATTGTAGGTACACTAGTGATATCTGCCTATGCTGTTTGTCCAGATATTACACAGACTCTAATATTGTAGGTACACTTGTGATATCTGCCAGATATTACAATGACTCTTGTTTTGTAGGTACACTTGTGATATCTGCCTATGCTGCCTGTCCAGATATTACACTGACCGTTACTCCTGATCTCAAGTGTCCAGACAACAAAGGTTAGAAAATTCTAAATACTTCCAGCTTGTGTTTCACATTAATAATAATCCCAGACAGCCTTTCCATTGCTCTTAGGAGCTGTGTACAGGACATTTATTTCTTTTAATCCAGTTTAATTCACTTGTGTTCTCACAGTTAGATCAAATTCATAGTTCTGCATGCAGTCATCTAGGTCATTCCTGGATATTTGATTATGAAAAAATAAAAAAAAAGGAATTAGGGAATATTAATAATTAATTTAAATGCGAATCCTGTGTGCACGCAACTCGCTACCAACTCCCTTTTTGACAATACTGATGTAAAATTTTGACATGTAACATTAATGTAACATTCATAAAATTTAACTACAACTAGTGTCTCTCTTTGCATACTTGACTGGTAGAGAATGTTTTACAAACAGACCTGATATAAGCACTGTGTAATTTAGACATTTTTGCTACAGGTTGCCTGCTATTAGTGGATCTAGGGGGTGGGAACCATCGAATGGGTGGCTCCGCCCTTGCTCAATGTTACAAACAGCTGGGTGACCTCTGTCCTGATCTGGATCAGCCAGATGTTTTCTGTAAAGCTTTCAATGTCACACAAAAGTTAATTGGAGGTAAGAAATCAGGATGTCATTTACATAGAATAAGAAATGCAAATGGAATGTACAGTATAATTTGTCCAAACCGGCTACCGCTGGTTCCATAAAATTTGGCCGGTTTAGACAGAATCCGGAGTGCAGGAAAAATGCAGGAAAATATTAATTTTGAAAATTTCGTTGTTTATTTACAAGTTCATTATTATACATAATGTAAAATATAATTAAATGATGAAATTAATCAATATTTTGGAGTCTAGAAATTATAAAATAGTCTCTTATGACTTACCATGCTTACTGTATTTTCTTGTTTTTCACGAAGTGTGAAAGTCGGGTGAAATGTAACCTAAATCAAAATCTACAGGCACGCATAATATACATGTAGGCCTACTATATATCAAGCGAATCATGTTTCGCTTGTCAAAGAGCTCATTCAATGTAAAAACAGTAATGCACAATTATTTACGATGTGCTAATTATTAGACTGAACTTTTAATTTTTATGTAAAAAATTACATCTTCCCCCACAGTGTTATGGCGCCATTTTGAATGCGTCCGATTTTCGATCCCGATTTATATATTGATTTGTAAATCGCTTACGTATTTATTTTTTTGTTATAATGTGGTAAAAGGATCGAGTTAAAACAAAATTATCTTTTTTTTAATTGTAATTAAATCATATACTAGTAATTTTTTTTTCAACTGGGCTGTGTCACCGCCGCGTTTCACTGAGTTCGTTTCATGGCACTGCTTATGTAAACACAGATTATCAAATCCACCACGAAAGGTGTTAATTGCTTTGAAGTAACTCAGGTGTGGCCGGATTAGAGGAAATAATTACCGTTATTTATGAGCAGTTGGGACCAGTATGGCCGTTTGGAATACAGAATAGACAGTATCCGGACTACACAGAATTTTTTCTAATGAATTTGTTAAAGAAGTGCATGGGACTAAAATTTATAGACGGAATGGACAAAAGTCCGGAGTACACAGAGTCCGGATTAGACAAATTTTACTGTACTTTTTTTACTTTTGTTTGCCTGACAGTGGTGCACATCTGCCCAATATTTATCACTGTCTGACCAGCTATCTACAGCTTTTAATTGAATTTACAAAGACTATGTACAAAAAAAATTGTCTTCAGAGAGGAAGATATCTGCTGGACATGACGTGAGTGATGGGGGACTTATCACAGCCATGATGGAAATGGCTTTTGCTGGAAACTGTGGAATAGATGTCAACCTGGAATTCATTCAGGAAGGTATTCATTTATGGTGCTTCAATGAGAAAAGAGATATAAATCATTTAATGTTGCTGATATTTTAATCATTTCAAATTTTGATAAACTTCTGTAGAGTTGAATGATGAAAACCTTTGATTGTAGTATTTTTGTAAATGATACTGATACATGTATTTCAGAATTTAGTGCCATAGATGTGTTGTTCTCAGAAGAACTTGGGTTGATCCTGGAAGTGCCATTCATTGAGAGTACAACTGTACTGGGAGAATATGCCGCACAGAATGTACCCTGTTATCTGATTGGTCATTCTTCAAAGAGCGGCAAGGACTCTTTGGTTGGTACTGTTATTAAAGAATGATGCAATGTACATGTCCTACATGTGTAATCTGATCAGAAATAATGCCATACATTGGGAGAGAGTTTTTTATGCCTCCCTTCGAAGAAGGGAAGGCATATTGCTTTGCTGCTGTCTGTCGGTCGGTATTTCGGTCTGTCGGTCCTTTTAGTTTCCATTCATTTTCTTCACAACTGTTGCACATACTGAAATGAAATTTGGTATACACAGATTTATCAGATGAATATCTAGGTCAAGATTTGTTTTGGGTACGATCGCACCATTTTTGATAGAGTTATGCCCCTTGGACATAGAAAAATTCCAATTATTTGCAGTTTCCGTTAATTTTCTTCGCAGAGGTTGCATATACTGAAATGAAATTTGGTTTACAGATTTATCAGATAAAAATTTAGATCAAGTTTGTTTTGGGTACAATCGCACCATTTTTGACAGAGTTACAACCCTTGGACTTAGAAAAATTCCAATTATTTGCAGTTTCCGTTCATTTTTTTTCGCAGAAGTTTCACATACTGAAATGAAATTTAGTATACATGTACAGAATTATCAGATGAAAATTTAGATCAAGTTCTGTTTTGAATACCATTGCGATCTTTTTAACAGATTTATGCCCCTTGGACTTGGAAAAATTCCAGTTTGGGGTAGGGGGCATAAGTATTTTACAAACATCTCTTGTTGCTTTTGTTTTTATCCTTATTCTGCTTATTCCTCTGTGTATGATATAAAATACATGTATGTGTATCTTGAATGTGATAAAATAAAATTGTTTCTTATTGTACATGAGCAGATTAACATGCCATTTATAAGCACAATGTCAAATTTTGCCATACGATAACATTGATTATCAAATGAAATGTATACACCTGTAACTGAGTAATCTTTTAAATCTTACTGAATGTTGTCTTTTTAGGTGAATATATCCATAAGAGGTCTGGAGGTAATAAAAGAGAAAATGACAGTGTTAAGAGATATCTGGGAAGAAACCAGTTTTCAGTTAGAATTTCTTCAAGCCAATCCCAAATGTGTAACCCAGGAACAAACAGGACTGAAAGAGAGGCTAGAGCCTCCTTATCATGTGCCATTTGAATCTGAGATTATATCCTTTTCCCAGAGAGGTAGACCAACAAGTATGTGTTGATTTTTCACCGTCACTGCTTACAAGGCATGTTATGAAATGCATGAGTTTTTGTATAATACAAGTTTTATCAAAGCTACAAATGTTTGTTGAAAGTAACTTCACTGTTCCGTGCACTATTTCATGTTAAAACAGCTGCCCTTTTTACAATGAAATCCTAAAAGCAGTTTAAAAAAAAAAAGTTTATTTTGTGGGAAAACATGCTGTTAGAGAAATTGTCTATTTTAAAACTGAATACATGTTAAAAAAGTTTGAATTCTTTTTTTCCACTTTATATCATTACAGTTGGGTGGCAGTGACAATTTTTTTGCATACACGAGTCACACTAGACATGTATTTTGCTCCTGACAGGTCAACCCTTGCCAAAAGTAGCGGTTCTTAGAGAAGAGGGAAGTAACTCTGACCGAGAGATGGCCGCCGTACTCCACATGGCCGGTTTTGAGGTGTGGGATGTTAACATGGAGGACCTCTGCTCAGAACAAATAAACTTGGACCAGTTTAGGGGACTAGTTTTTGTTGGAGGCTTTAGCTATGCTGATGTATGTGGATCTGCCAAAGGTTTGTTTCTACAACGTAGTTTGAGATTTACATTACATTATTCATGGCACTATAGAAATCTTGAACTGCGAATTCTTTAAAGTTTTTAAATCCAAGATGATTGAAAATGAATGATAAATAATTTGCACCACCTTTCGAACATTTGCAAATTGTACATATTTTGATTTCTCTTTTTGTTTACAGGTTGGGCTGCTACTGCCCTGTTTAACCAAAGTGTGCGAGAACAGCTGTTAAAGTTTAAGGAGAGACCTGACACGTTTAGTCTGGGGGTCTGTAATGGCTGTCAGCTGATGGCACTGCTGGGCTGGGTCGCTCCCGACGAGGACCTCAAAGGTAAAACAATTCTCTGCTTCTGTTAAAATTGTGAGGGGATGGTCCCTTTGTAGCAGGGCCTGTGTTAAGATTGAGATGGAATGATCCACTTTGTAACAGTGCCAAATTGTAAAGACATGGTCCTGTTTGTAGCAGTCATGCCTAAATTGTAAGGGAATGCTCCAATTTGCTGTAGTTCCCACATCAAATTTGAATAACAATCTGAACAATTTTATGTCCCCTTCATGGGCAATAAAATTTTTCTTCCTTACTTTTCTACAATAAATGAAGCAAAATAAAATTGATCACCACTACTAGATAAACTCTGCATTCTTTTTTTTTTTTTTGAACACAGAAAACAGTAACAGTGGTGTTGGACAGGGCCTTTTTCTGGATCACAACTTGTCTGAGAGATTTGAGTGTCGCTTCAGTTCTGTACGGGTGATGAAGAGTCCGGCCATCATGTTTAGAGGGATGGAGGATACAGTGTTTGGGATGTGGAGCGCCCACGGGGAAGGTAGAATTACATTCTCAACATTTATCTCTACACATGCAATTATAGATACAAGTGTTTCTGAAAAATTTCTTGATATTTTGGGTCATGAAAGTTTTTTATGCCCCGCCATGAATATACAATATTTTTAAAAACGTTTATTAAATGCTTATACAAAATTCAAATTAATTTCTTGCATCGTGAAATTAAAACCATCGCGATTGTTTACTTTTTGAGAAATCAAGAAATATTAACACTGGAATTAAAACGACATACGGTATGCTGATACATACTGATGAGAGCTTTTCAGTTGCGTCAATATTTTTTGACCTTGGCATTTCTTTGACCTTGACCTCACTTTAAAGAAATTAATGTAAACCTTCATATGCTGATACATACTGATGTAAGCAATTCAACTGCATCACTTATCAAGATATTATCAAGACATTCAAATTTCATACAAATTTTCCATGTTGCATTACTAATATATCCTTGGCGGGGCGTTCATGTCTTATGGACATATTTCTACTTTATAATTTAACATAAAGGCATAGATGTTAGATTAAATAAACTACCATCAGATGCTTGGAAAAGCAATGAAGATAAAATATCATAGGTAAAATGTGTTTGCAGAGAAGTTTGAAAGCAACTTTGTAAAATATTTTTTAAAAATTCAGAATGAAAATTTCAGCTTAGTCTACCTTCATTTACTGTGCATTCAGAATCATTTTCACCCTTGCATTTAATTTATATAATTAGCTCCATTTAAAAATCATCCAGAAAATGCTGTTTACTCTGAATTTGTCCCAGTTTGAATTCATCCATTTACAGATAAAATAATGTTTCATAACATTTTACAGGGAGAATGGTGTTCCGTTCGGAGGGGATTTATCAGGATATGTGTAGAGACAATCTGATAGCTGTGAAGTATGTGGATGATCAGGGGAAGCCCACCGAGGTCTACCCTCTCAATCCCAATGGATCCCGTAACGGGATCGCCGCCATTTGTTCAGAAGACGGCCGCCATCTTGCCATCATGCCTCATCCCGAGCGGTGCTTTCTGCCATGGCAGTGTGCATGGATGCCACAGGAAATGAGGAAGTTTGATGTGTCACCATGGTTTAAGATGTTCCAGAATGCTTTTGATTGGTGCAGGACACAGTCCTAAGAGTCACTCACATAGGATGTTTTTATAAAATATCAGGGAAAATCATTGGATATTAGGTGTTGGGCTGTTGAAATCAACACCACTACAGCTCAATTTAACATATGAATTGGTATTGAATGCAACTCAAGATATGCATAATACAATGAAATAGAATTACCTCAACAAATGAAGTGTGTTTAACTCTTATTGCCATAACTAAATATACATACATAGCTTAGCCTTCTGTGCAATAAACACTTGTATTTAAAATGGATTTTATGTTTTGTTGTGAAAAGACCCTGGGTCAATGGTTCTGGTGGAACTCTTTTAATTGTAAAATGGAAATGTATAAATACTTGAGAGTCTTCTCTGCTCTTAAGTATTTAACAGTCAAAGTGAACAAGATGATGAGCAGAAGTGCCTCCTGCAAAATTTTAAAATCCATGGCTCAGGATCAGGGGGTTTGGAATGGTCATGATAAGGCAGTAATTCTTTGAAAATTGTCCTTTCTGCTTCAGAGTATACGGCAGCTATGATGAGCAAAGATGCCGCTTCCAAAATTTGAAATTCATGGCCCCCAGCCCTTTGGATCTGGGGTTCTGGTGTTGGTTTGAATGTATTTTCATGACAGAATGGAAATGCATTAATGCTAAAAATTCATAAAAAGTTGGGGAAATTCTTGAGGATATAAATTTTCAATATTTGTCTATGTTCCCTTTAGGGGAAAAAAATCTTCCTTCAGAAGCTTTGATTGACAATATTTTGAAATCCTACATGTATACTCTGTGTATGACACAATGTAGATGTTTAATTTTCTAGAAATGTCTCTTCAGAAGTTTTAGTGATCTGGTTTTAGGAATACACCATTCCTTAAAATCATCAAAGATTTGGATTTCTTGCCCATTAATATGCACATAAGCTACGTGTATATGCATTATTTCAATAGATCATACCCTACAATAGATTAACAGATGGATTTGTAATTATGCACCCCAAAATCATAGAGGAAATGGAACAATTTTCATCATAAAAAATACAAGGCAATACTTTTTTCTTAGATAAATTTATTAAAACTTTGATATTCCTAGAGATTGCCACTTTCAAAAATTATACTCTTTCTCTCTCTCTCTCACATGAATATGGCAGCTATTTGGTCAAAATAAAACAAATTGTATCTTTATTACAACTTTACAATTTTGTACAGCACATTCACTTTACAAATATAGTACATTCACATAATTTCAAGTAACATTCATCCCAATAAAACAATCTACAACATCTAATTTCCACCATGACGACACATGAAATTTGGGATCCATAAAACAAAACATACGGTCTCAATCACCGATCATCTTCTCTACTTGAATAAGAAACTGGAAAAAGAAAAGATCAGTTGTTATAAAACTGGTATAAAGAATTTCACTGTATTTCTATACACCTGTACTGAAAAAGAACAGCCTACCTGTATGGGTAACCTTGATACTTGGATCGGAACACAGATAAGAGGAGACTGAAAAAGATTGCCACTAATCCCAGCCCTACCATGGATAAAACTGAAAAATTAACAAAAACACTTAAGTCTTATGTACATATTTACACTCTGAAGTGAAAATTCTTAACATTATAACATCATTCATTGCATTTTAATAAATTTTTGTACACAAATTTTTTCCATAAATTTTTTGGCTTTGCAGGTAAGACATATATATTGTATACAAATTCTATAAGAATTGGCATCCAGTATCTGATGATAGTGTGTCATTTCTTACTTCTTTTCTTGCCGGGGTCTCCTTTGACAGAATTAGCTTCATTGAGTAGAACTATGCCCCCTACCACTGCTGCATCTGAAAAATCTAGTTAAGGAATTGTTCCCCTACAAACATCGCAATATTTTCTACATAAAAAATTAACAAATGTGACAAAGCTACATGAGATGAGTTTTCTTTTTTATAGGAGAGAAAGGGAGATACAAATAAAAGAAGAAGAGGAAACGCTGCTTTCAAAAAAGTGCAACAAAAATCACCAGACTAAATTGCATATGTCCAAAAAATTTCATGTTCACCAATAAGCAACACATGTATGTTTCTTCAGGAGTAAGAATAAAATTAAAATTTGTAAAAGTGCAAGGGTGTGTCAATCAAACCCATCCAAAAATTTAAACTTTCAGTAACTTTTACATGAAATAAGATTTTCAATATATTTCGTGTAAAATGCTATTTATATAAGGCCATGCAAAGTGATATTATAAAGAAAATATAACTTCAAATCTGTGTCTATGCACCTTTAAGTCTAAAGCTCCTCAAAGTCAAGTACATGTACATGTAGTTAAAAGAGGCCCATGGGTTACAATGCCAACTTGACTTCAGCATATGAAAAACAGACACTTAAGGTGGCTCATTACATCCACAGTTTATTTTAGATTTCAATACAGCACCACTTATAATGTAGATGTCAAATATCCAGATGGGGGTATTGATATCATAAATATTTTTTATAGAATTTTTTAGTTTTTGTCTAATTTTAGTGAAATACTTCATTTCAAGTTTATTATCAATAGAATTTCAGAACTTTCAGTGTCAAATGATGGGCATCTTCTTAAGACAAGTACACACAGTGAAAATACCTCATAATACCTAATAATAATTTCATTAGAAAAAATAATTTTCACATAGAAAACAATTAATGTCATTATCTTTTTAATCTATGCATAAAACATTAATAAAATGAGTTCTGAAGAGACAAGGAATGTATTTCAATGAATTACATGTGACATATTGAATGAAGAATGTTTTAACGAAATGAAAATTCCAATTTAAAAAATATTTGGTTTAAAAAGTCCACTTTCAAGAGTTATCTTTCCTAATTACCCAAGACTCAAAACACTAAGGAACGTTTGACATTACATCTAAAATTCAGAGCAAAGCTTTAAATTGCCAGATTTTACATTTAAATCAATAAAGCAAATATATAAATTAACACCAACACAGTAAATAGTGCAAGTAAATAACTTTTTAATTTCAACAAGGTTGTAGATTTTAACTCAAATTTCCTCTATACAAACATGTCATTGATTGATAGAGCTCACTGCATGCATCGCTATGAAACTGATTACTTGTTTGGCGAAGATTTGACTGTTGTTTTCTTTTGTTTCTGCTTAAAAGCAATTCTTCTTGGTTTATGCATAATGAATCCGTTACTTTGTTTTCACTGTTTATAACACCGCATGTTTCATCTATTTTTAAAGCGTTTTAAAGGTCAGGGTCATATTACAGAGGTACCTGTACAATTCGTCCCCAGAGGAAACCGGTCGACGCAATGGAGGTTTATTTTTTTGTGTAGTACGTCAGCAAAAAGTGGTGTAATGAGCCTCCTTAAAAAAGGCTTACAAATATTTTTTCTCATATCCACAGACTGAACTTATTGCATGATAGAATCAGGGCTGCAATTCTTGCGTATTTTGGACATGCCTGCTGTAATTGTTGAAAAACAATTTAACTAAGACACCATCTAGCGGACTTACAAAGCACCAGGCTAACCACTGCACCTCAACTTTGGCCACTTCCAGATGGTAGGCTGTTGATAAAATGTAAAGATGTGATTCTGTTTTATTTAGTCTGAAAGATTTCTTATAAAGTAAAACTGCAAAAACACAAGCAGTGAAAGCACAAAGATACAAAGAGCAAACACAATGTAGCTTTCAGCCCAGGTCTGGCTATCCTGTTGCGAGTCTACATATATCTAAAAGGCAACACAGAGAAATAAAATACATGTTCAACACTGACCTCAAGCAGTACTGAAAAGTTGTAAAGAAGCAAGGGGCAACGAGATATTGCCCTTTCAGTTAAAACTGAAAAGTAATTCTCTCAAAAATAGTAATGCTTTAAAGTTCAAGAGGCAAATGAATATTACACAAAAGTCAATAGAAATTCATGTAAACATGCCAGAAAATATAAAAAAAAAATTTACCCTTTACCCTTCCAGTTAGTAAGGATACTTAAGAAAAACACTATGTAAGTTTCTGCTATAAACTGCCCCTGGCTGCTGCCATGAATGTAATTCTGTTGAAGAAGAAAAATAGAACATGCATAAAATATTAAAATGTTAGAAAACAAAATTTATATTCTTATTTTAGTAATACCATTACAAATATGAAAAAAATCATAATGTAAAAGTGGAAAGTTTGACAAAGAGGAAAAATTGACGAATGACTTTTGCTGGGTCATCAAAGTTTTCTCTCATCAATATTTTTTTATTCATTGTTGTTCTCGGAGCTTGGCCAGTGTACGTGTAATCATACTTAGTTGTCCGTTCGTTGTATTCCTTAAATCTCATTTGATTTTGTGAATCTCGATCCCAAACATACATGTATAATGACAGTATGTAAACATAGCTAATGTGAAAATCAAATTGGTAAAAATAAAATAATATATGAGATTTCCATTTGCAGTTGAATTTTTAATCACATGCTGCAAATGTATTCTACAGTATTTAGCATGTATGATATTTGGCAAAATGGATTTTTTTCAACAAGTTAGCTTCGGTTTAAATTAGCGCTTTCTTAATTTTGCTTTATATATAATCAAGACATTTAGCAATGTACTTGATTTAGCAGAAGCTCCTTTCCATGAAATGCGATGAATAGAATACACAGCCAAATGTAATAAGTTTACAATATACTAGTATACCACAATTTTATCGGATCATGCTTTAAAATACCCTTCAACTTAATAACTTTGTTTGGATTGAGTTCTTGCCCCTGCCACCCTGTACATACAATTTGTCCTGTAGATGGGTTTTTGTGCATCACTGGTGGTCCTCTAATGTGGTTCCACATCTGACCCGAAGTCATGACAAAAATTACAAACTGAAATATTAAGTTAATATCTGTAAGCACATGATTCATCAACCTAATTACAGTCCAAAAACAAGCTGAATTCCATAGATTTAGACAAATTAGACAAATCACTAACCAGTGATAGAACTCCCCATACTGTTTTGTTGTACAGGAATTCTAGGTTGTTTCTCTTTAAGTATAGAAGTCCTCCGATCAGAGCAAACAAGAGTGCCAGAGCCAGAGTCCCAGAGTAATTAGGAGGGCGGAATACACGAATCTACAAAACAGAAACTTACGTAAATTAGGATCTTGTCAAAATTATATGGGTCAAAAAGTGTGTTGTTTACATTCCAATTTGTCATTTACCATCCAAAACAATAATAATTAAAGTCATTCCCAGAAAAGACAAATCTTCCTATCTAGAACTCAACAGATCAGAGATTACCAGTACACTTTGAGATATTTAAAAGGATTCATTTTAAGAAGATTTAAAAACAACGTGTTTGGGACTGCCAACACACTGCCATACATATATCCAAAGTATTTGAGATATTAGTATTTGAGTAACAAAGTGCAACTGTGAACTTTGCTGTTTAATTTAATCTATCACATAGAAAATCTGTAAAAGGAGCTGTGTTACCTTTATTACTAAAAAAAATTTAAATGTTCATCCTTTCTTATTCTATATGTGTTTTTAAAGAGTGAAACTTTTTTGATTTACATTTATGTCTGTTCTCTCTGCAACCCATTTTGCAATCTGCTCAGCAGCAAATCCAACTCTGTAAAATTACAAAACAAATGAAAACAATTTTGTATATTAAACAAAATATAATCACATGACACACAAGTATACTATGATTTAAAATCTCAATATCAGCTTTGTTCCTGTGAATATTTATCTATCTTTGGCTGTTAACCATACAGTTTGTTAGTGTCTAAAGTTATGCCCCTTTAAGAGTATCTAAACAAACCTGTGAATATCCATGGTGTCTCCTTTCTTAGGTTTTCCTTTGGCTGGAAAATGCATGAACACTGGAGCAGTGTTAAGTTTCATCTACAAATGTAAAAAGAAATTGCATAATTCAGAATGAGACCACAAAATTTTAAGTGAACCTTCATTTATCTTTTGATAAGAAAATGATAGGATTGACAATCTGTGAGCTTACTGAGGAGAAAACATCTGATCCCTCATCATAGTCCACCATAGCAAAGAACAATTTGTTAGAATACTGCTGATAGTACCTCCAGGAATTGGCCAGAATGGTGTACTCATCGTTGGCTTGTCTGTAAGTGTAAGACATACATCAAATTCAAGGAGTTTCCTGATCAACCATGTATTTCTTATACATCCTTATGAAATGCTAATGAAATAATTTCAATACATCTAATTTTTTTTTTAATACCCTCAATTAATTTTTTTTTAAAGTGAACATGCATAAGTCCCTCCTAAAATCACATGAACAAGGTCATATTTTTTCACCAAGCAATACACTGGAATGACTGAGCAAGACAAAAGAGCAAATATACGGTGGAATCATTTTAATTTGTATATGTATGTATATACATGTACTGAAGGCAAGGATGCATTTAACTATCAACTTTTAACTTCAAAATAATCAATCACAAATCAATAATAAAATCTTTATCTACTGATGTATTTGTTGGATAGGAGTACTGTAAATCACTTTTTATTCGCGAGAACTTTATTTTCGCATAATTACGCGAGACAGTGTGCTCGCGAAAATTTAATTCTCGCGTATATTAGTATTCTTTAAGAATATAAGGAGCAATAACCACAATTCGCGAAAATTTTGTCTCGCTAATCAAGAGTCAATGACTATCTCGCAAAAATAAGGTGTCGCAAAAATTAAGTGATCTACATTAATCAGTTTCAAACAAATTGTGGATCTTATCACACCTGTGTACGTTTTCTAAATTGGATCTTTTTTTAATAAATCAATAAACATTAAGGTAAATATTGATCATAACTGCAGTCTAACAAATATCATTTTAATAATTGATTTTGTAGAGAGAAAACAAGGGTAAATGCTTTTAAGTTTAAAAATAGAAAGAATTAAGTTCAACTGCATGCAACTCCTTTTTTCATCAAACCAATTACTGGGGGATTATTATTATCATTCAAGTTTTATATTGGAGATATGGGGGTAGTTGTTGGGGAGGAGTAGGGTTTGAAGGATACAGATACAGGGCACTTACTTGCACACAGAACACTGTCTCTGAGGCTGTAAGGCAGTCAACATGACCACTACTGAGTAATTTCTGGGAGGTGACTTCACATATTGTCTGAATTTATCACCATTCAGTCGGATGACAGCTTTTTTATTGTTCCATTCTGTCAGTTGACTAACTTTTTCTCCAAGTGTATCCTGAATTAAAAAATGTTAACAAAAAATAATTTAAGCAAAATAGTAGAATTTTGAGGGTTTTTTTATATTATAAAATAATAATAATCATGAATAATAATCGCAATCAGGATTCACAAATCAAAAGACCTTGACTCAGCATAATATATCATTGTTGCAAACCACGGCCATAATGTACAATCCTCTTCAATTCTGGCCATGGTAGCATTAGAAGAGAATATTTCATAGCTCATTAAAATATTGACCACTGTGAGTAAAGCATAGTCAGATAATGAACTTTGATGCGATTTTTCAATACCTAATCGCAGTCTACAAAATACTGCTGATGTAAATTGTTGATTTCAATTGTGATGGAAACGAAACTTGTCAATGGCTGAATATGATGTCACAATAGAAAGGCGTAAATATTCAAGATTACGACACTTTTTGTAATCAAGGAGCCACTGGTAGGAGAGAGCTATATGTGGACTCCGAACCGTGGCTTGAGACGATGGCATAATATATGTACATAACATTTTACCATATTAATGTGCTAATGCATTTTGAAGCAGAAAATTTGCCTGACAAGTATGCAGCAATTCTAAACAACAGAATGAACAATATCTAAAGAAAACCAAGAGAGGGGAGTGCCAGGAGTTAACAGTACTAAATTTACCATTGGCTTTAGAATTTTCTAGTTAGAATAATCTAACTGTGTCTCCGTACAGGCCCTCACCACAGTTAGAATACCACCCATATACTCGCAATGTTGCAAAAAATTGCAGAATCGCACCGAAACGATTTTGAAGAATATAAAATGATTTGCGCTGGGAATAACTAGCAAAATAATCAAAACAAACCTTCTTGAGATTGCTTATGCCTTTTATCCCAAAAAATAACCAATATAAATACGAAAATCCAATTAATTTTCTCAACGTTTTTCTCTCGATTCAAATTACCTGCCATGTTTACATTCGGAACTCTCTAGATTGTTCCTAGTAAATGCACTATGCGAGTTATCGCCCGTGTTTCTTTCTGCTACATTACGAATACACGGAACGAATTCTATCGTTAAACCGGGTCCGTAGGACAATATCATTTTAACGATAGAACATTCTATCTAAGAATTTTCTAGCATTAATGATTTTAACCATTTAACATTCAAGCATATCATTCTCATAATGAAAAATGAATCTAAATTCTGATGCAAAATTGCGAGACCAATTTTTGCTAGAATCTGCAACAGAAATAGAGTAACAGCCTTTGTAAATGTTATAAGGTAATCAATTTAGAATGAAGAACACATATTTTTCAAAACCATTGGTGTGTTTTTGAAAATTTCTATCAATTTTCGCCAATATGCTTCCTTTTTCCTTTGACGCTAAATTTTATCTTTTAAAAATTCCCCAGCTCCTATCATTCTTATAGAGATGACTCAAGTTCTTATCAACATCAAGGAAATTCAGATGAACAAATTCGAGCTTGAATGCCTACTTGTACGTGCCGACTAAATGGTTATTTCTGCTTACAATGACAACTAAAAACAAGTTCTTGTCTTCCAAGAAAAATTAGCATACTCTATTACCTCTTTCTTTTTAATGGCACCATGCAGAACACCTACAATGGCAAACAATATTGCAAAGACGAGGAAGAAAGTCTTGACAGCCGCCATGTTTCGTCTGCAGGTACGTGGATTAAAGAAGACATTTAATTGGTTCTCGCCTTTTCTCTGCTGTCCAATGAAATTGAGTGTGACAGTGTTCAGCATCATTTGGGTGGATGGAGTTGCTTTGTTTTGAGAAAAAGTAAAATTGAGCAGGTACAGGTAATTTAATTATTTTTAGGAAAAGATTCTGATTTAATAGAAATTTGTGTATCTCTGTTATCTTATTTACAGTTGTCACACACTTTTGGCACTCAGCTCTTGTGCTCACTGGTGAAATGAAGTTTGAAAGTTTATAACTTTTTTTCTACCATTAACATTTTTGATCAAATAAGAAATATTACTCGAAATTGTTTTTCTTATAGCATAAAATCCTGTAGGATCTAATTTGATTTATTCAATCTTATAACAGACATGATTTGTCATTTTTATGTCTCTGTCTGTGATACATGCATGTCCACATTGAATTTTCAGGAGTATCTAAGTTGAAGAATATTTCACATTAACAATAACTGTGGTAGTGGTACTACTCTATTGCAGGGCAAAATGAGATATTTTGGTGAAACAATTGTTTAATATGCATCATTTAATTAAAATTTGGTGGGATCAGATGCCTAAAAGCTACAAATCTTCCCTGTTGACCAGTCATACACACTTTGAGCCCTATGATTGATCAAATCGATGGAGCATTCTGTAGACAAATTTAATACAAAAACAAAAATCTAACAATTGCTATGAAAGAAGATGGCTCAAATATGTCATTATAGCGTAGATTTTACAAAATGCTGACATGAAATCCCTGCAACATCAACTTTTGTGTGGGTAGCCTGCCTCTGTTTAAAAAATTAATTGTACTCAGAGCATATGCTCTTGAGTAATGAATTAGTTGGGAGACGTAAACACTAATTCATATCCAGGTAACAATGGAATACAGGCTTATTATTCAAAAGCATCACAGGGTCAGGCAGGATCAGGTGCCATAGAGGAGTAAGCATCCTCTTTTAATTAGATAGGCCATGCCCGTTAGTGCTCCTGTCATCAGATAAACAGCATTTGACCAAATATTAGATTCCATTTGCTGATAAGGTCATTGCATCAACCATAGAACTTGGAAATTATGACTTCAAAGAGACTGCTGATATCTTTGTTTCATCAACTTGTTGATTAATAGCTTGCTTCAGTTTTTGTATAAATTCATGTATAAAAACAGGTCAGCTTATAAAGGAACAAAATGAATGCCTTTTAGAATTCCAAGAGTTTGTTGGGAGATTTGGTCCACATAAATGTTGTAAAATAGAACTCCAACATCCTTTAATATCAACTATCATAGTCGGATAATGAACTTTGATGCAACCTTTCAATACCCAATCGCAGTGTATGAAATATTGTTGATGTAAATTGTTGATTTCAATTGCGATGCAAACAAAACTTGTCATTGACTAAATATGACGTCACAATGGAGGGGCTTGAATATTCAAGATTACTACACTTTTTGTAATCAAGCAGCCATAGGACTGAGAAAGGAGAGAGCTATATGCAGACTCCAGACTGTGGTTTGAGACGATGTTCAGATGCTGGCTATGTTATATATTTTCTACAGGCATAACCAGATTAAAAGTTTTTGGATGAAGTTAATTCAGCATAAATTTTTAAGCTTTACCTGGACCAAATTTGCATGGATAATGCCCCAAGGGAAAAAGAGTATGACGTCACTTGCACGATGTTGGATCTTAGCTATATTTTCCAAATGAATGACCAGGCTGATGATTTTTTGGAGTAGATTTATCCATTTCACTCTGCTATATGTATGTTTTACTAATTCAGTTTTCTTGATATTGTTTATGTTACAGGCATCTCAGCATGCTTCGTGCTAGTCCTAGTAATGGACACACGGCAGGTACGGAGGAGGAACATTATGAACACCCACTACAACCCGTGGGGATCTACGGCTGGAGAAAGCGATGTCTTTACGCTTTTGTCTTATTCCTTATGGTGCTCACAACTTTGAACTTGGCTTTAATCATTTGGATCCTACGTGTTCTTAACTTTTCTGTGGTAAGATTTGTAAGCTTTCACTTATTTAATGTTGTTAAATTGATTTACAAAGTATGATACTGTGAAATCACTTATTTTTGTGGGGGGTTAATTAGGGCCCCGCAAGGATTTGCGGGTGCCCTATAGTAATCACTCTGTCCGTCCGTCTGTCTGTCCGTCTGTCACTCTTCCGTCCACAAATTTTCTGTTTTTTTCTAATAACTTTTTTTATGGTTGCCCAATCAAGTTCAAATTTGGTATGGTAGTTCAGTAGGCAGAAATACATATTTTGATGCTAAGTTTGGTTGTCTATGTTCCATGGTTTGGAGCTGGGGTGGTGGGGTAGATTCCTTAACTATGCATAAGAATGAACGGGCAACTTTTTTTATGGTTGCCCAATCAAGTACAAATTTGGTATGGTAGTTCAGTAGGCAGAAATACATATTTTGATGCTAAGTTTGGTTCTCTATGTCCCATGGTTTGGAGCTGGGGTGGTGGGGTAGATTCCTTAACTTTATATAAGAATGCATTGGCAAAGAGAGATAACTGCTGAAGATGTTCCCATTGTAAACTGAATGCTGCTAGGAGTCCCTTGGGATTAATTAGCTTTCCTCCTGAAGAAAATCCAGAGCATTATCTTTATCTGTCACATTGAGATTAATTACCACCTCTGTCTGCAAATGAAGTTTGTTTTGAAGTTAAATCAATTTGGAATGCTATGAACACTCTGAAATGTGGATTTAAATATAAATTTTTATTATTTATTTTTGTTTGATAGTTATGATTTCATTGAATTCTAAAAAAAAGAAATAGATTAAAGAAGATTTTTTGATTTACTTTTTTTCACTTTTTTCACTTTTTTTTTAAATATATTAATTCAAGAATATTATTAATTTTTAATGTAGTTGTATAAAAACCCCATTCTATCATTAATACTGAAAAAGTTCTTATTGTAAATTTAGAAGAAAATGATGAGAGAGGTACAATTAATCCCTTGGGATTAATTATCTAGCCTGCTGCAGAAAATTTAGTAGGCTTTTCTTTATCTGTCACTTTAAGATTAATGAAAACCTTTGTCTGCAACTGCTGTTTGTTTGAAGTTAAGGTCAAGCCTTCATGATATTTGCATTCATTGAAGGCTGGCATTTTATATAACACAAGCTTCATAATTGTTTAAATATACATTCAATGTTAAGTTGTTCTTTACTGCCTAATGTAAATACAAGGATATTATTTTCAGGTTTTTGAATATTCAGGAATTATCTTGAAATTTGAAGAATACAGTTGCTGTTGCTTATTCTTCGTACATTTATTAATCATTCTGTAAGCTGCACCCTTTTAATTCTACCCCATGGCGGGGCCCTTGCTGACTGGTTAGTTTTCTAGTTTTTGTTGTTTTCATGGTGTATAGAGATTTATGAATTTATATCATCTATAATTTCTTCATTCATTTAGCATGGAATGGGAAAATTAAGAATCACAGAGAAGGGACTGAGATTGGAGGGAGAAGCTGAGTTTTTAGACAGATTGTACACTAACAGGATTCAGTCAATGCAGGTAACTGGCTAGTTGTTGAATTATGGCAGTATGGGTAGTTTGTAGTCGAAAAAAAAATTTAGAAAATCTTAACTGGTAGAAGTTTAAGTGAGTATATATATATATGTTGGTTTCATCAAGAATATTTATGTATTTCATTAAACAGATTTTGTGAATATTTTTTGAAGTTTATTCTAATTTTATCATTTTCTTTTATACAGGACAAACCTTTGTACATGGATTCCAGTAAGGATATCATACTGAGGGCCAGGGATGGAAAGAAAAATGTGTCAAGCACACTGCTTGTTGGTCAGTGGAAGTTAAATACATTTGAATTCTTCTACAATATATATGAATTAGTTTGTCAAAACAAATGAAAATTTGTGAAAGGAGTCATTTTATTTTTGAAGGGAAATTGACTAATTAAATTCTTATTGTAGGTGACAAAAAACTAGAGGCTCAATGTGAGGAGTTTGAGATCAAGGACAAAAAAGGTCAAACCAGGTTCAAGGTTGGGAACAAGGGCATCGTCATGGAAATGGATGAAGTGTACTACACAGGTAAGATAGCCATTCTTTGACCATTATGTGGTTTAAAGATTTAAATTTTTATAAAATTTATCAAGAACATTCATCTGACCAATTGCTTTATAGCTTTCAAAAAGATTAGAAGGGCTAGAACTTTGAAATATCAGCTTTATTGTGCTGTGTACATGTAAATGCATTTGTTTAAAAAGAATTACTGGTACTTCATTGAAAATCATCAACATTGTTTCCATTGTTATTAGCATAGTTATTGCATCATAATATTTCAATAGTCTCTCTTACCCATGAAAGAACAACCTCAAATGCTTCCTTTTTTTGCACTGAGAACTGCAATAGGGCAATTCCTTCACAAGCAAATAAGAACAATCTGAAAAAAAACTAAACTTAAATACTTTTTAAAAAAAAAAACTAAACTTAAATACTTTGAAAAGTTAAAAATTTTAGTACATGTATCACCATATTTGGAATCTCCAAACACCAGTTTCTACATGAAATGTTTGTTGTTTCAGGGTCTAGTAGGGTGACATTCAATAGTTCAGTAGAAACTCCAAACATCAGAGGACCAAGAGCAGAACCTTTAAAGTAAGTTCTCTCCAGACAGATAGCAGACTTCTAGATTGTAATATTATACTTTCATGTAAATTACTTGAATCTGATTCGTCGAGAAACATTTGATAAAAATCACTATTACCCGCTGAATAATGAAGCCACGCCCTCCTGCGTAGCAACAGTCAACATTGCTTGACGACGGGTGATATTCCAAAAAATAGTGACTGCGCAGAATTTATGCGTGCACGGTTCACTGTTATATGCATTTGTATAAAACATTCAGTATAATATAATAAGTATTATTTAGAGAACGAGACAGGTTCTGTATCGCAGATACAAATTTGGGGGGCGGAGACGAGTGCAAAGCACGAGTCTCCGCCCCCCAAATTTGTATCTGCGATACAGAACCTGTCGAGTTCTCTAAATGATTTGTGACACGATCCAATCAAAATCACCTCAATGAAAATCAGCTCCTCCCATAATGATAATAAGATGTCATGTATATTTCATTTCCTTCTGAATCTCTGGTAAATCTGAAAAAAGTTAATTCCCATGCCAATTAGGGTTCCTTGTAAATTTCACTCTATCCGTAGACAGCGTGAGATTTGTAGAAATTTCTAAAGTTACTTTGTCATATTAGTTTTGGAAACGACGAGAAGAAGGATGGATGTAGATAATTTTAAAAAGCTTGACTTTTTAACTGATGAAGTTGACGATTTAACTTTATCACAGATCTGTGCAGATATGGAAACGGAATACCATGTATTTGAGGGCATTCAAAATCTCAGTTTTTCTGAAAATTTTGATTTCGATGCAAACCAAGGTCTTGGGGAAAACGGTTTGAATTCAATGGATTTTGATATCGGGGATTTGAGCTCTTTAATGGAAACGGAATGTGAAGTAAAGAAAGAACTGAAAGAGAGCACTAGGTTTGGACCGGTCGTCAATGATGAAGAATTAAAATGCCTTGTAGAAAATCAGGAAAATAAAAATACTAAGAGTAATACAAAATGGGCTGTTAACGTTTTCGAAAGTTGGCGCGAGCAGAGAGCTGGGGATATTATCGAGCTTCACTTGATGGATACGAAAACAATGAACCATTGGCTAGAGCGTTTTATCGTGGAAGCGCGCAAGAAAGACGGGGCTGAATACCCTCCAAAAACTCTCTATCTCATTTTATGTGGACTATTGAGGCACTTGAGACAAAAAGGTGTGTACGATAAAAATTTTCTAGATGAGAAGGAACTATCTTTTGTCGGGCTAAGAAAAGTTTTAGACGCGAAAATGAAATCGCTCGTGGATAGAGGCGTGGGATGCGAGATCCGCCAAGCTGATCCTATATGGCCTGAAGATGAGGAGAAATTGTGGCGAGAAAATGTTTTTGGGAAAGAAAACAGTGAACAATTACAACACACGATGTTTTTTTATTCATGTAAATTGTTTGGTTTGAGGGCCTGCGATGAGCATCACAAATTGCAATGTGAACAATTTTCCATTGGAAACGATATCCATGGACAGTTTATCCAATTTGTTGGTAGAACATCAAAAACCTACAAGGGCGGTTTGGGTCAGATGAATTTACAGACAAAGAATCTGAAGCATTACTGTGAGCCTGGTAAGTAAAACTCATAATAACTTATATGGAAACATTAAGACACTAATTTAGAATTTTAAATTAAGGTTTAACGAAATGGGGGGGGGGGGGGGGGGCATTACTGTATGAGCCTTTTTGGTAAATAGTTATGTATGAGACCTGCATGTAAAAGATTGTAATATTTATGTAGATATTTTAAGACTTGTAGATGTAAGCGGTGATTATCTAATTACTCATATAATTTACAGGTGATCGGTGCTTAGCAGAATATTTTCAGATATACCTTGATGCGTTAGATGGCACGGGGCCATTTTATCGGCGTCCGCTTCCCGGAACCTCCGAAAAGCCTGTGCGTTACGGGACACAGGTTGTAGGCATAAACAAACTGAAAACGTTTATGAAGACAATATCGCAAAAAGGAGGACTACAAGGGAATTATACCAATCACAGCGGAAAGAAAACGTGTGCTACGCAGCTGTACAAAGAAGGTGTACCCGAGGCAGAAATCATGAATGTTACTGGTCATAGATCAGAGCAAGGCGTAAGAAAATACATGAAAAGCAATGTACAAATGAAAAAGAGCATTTCTAAAATCTTGGATCCGCCCACAAAACAGGAATCTCAGGAAGCGTCTTCCGATCAGCCTACTGGTAGTAAAAGAGCGCTGTCTCCATGTAATACAGATCGTTCTGAAGGCGACGCAAAAAAATTGTGCAGTGAAAGTAATCGTGCTCTGCGGGATTTAACAAACACGGCATCGGTGTTCCAAAATTGCCATTTCAACTTTTCTTTTGGATCAAATTAATTGACTATGTGTGATTTTGTGCATCAGTAAAAGTGAATAGTGCATAGAGAAGTGTTATACAATGTATTGGAAAGCATTTTTTTTTAAAATTCGTTTCTTTTGGATTAAAAGTGACTGGCCAAATGTGAATGGAATAATTATCTTGAATTCATAAGAGTAAAGGTTTTGCTTTTTTCAGGAAATGATTTTGTTTAATTCCAAGCAGGAAAAAAAATATGATCAATTGATTTTGTTATTTTGAAAATTTTTGAGCAATTAAAATACTGAAATTGAATCAGATTTATTTTCAGACTGTGCTGTATTTTAGATACAGAATTGTTGGGAAATACAATACGGTATACAGGGCTAATACAGAACGGAACGTAGCTCCACCCACCATAGTCCCGTTCTGTATTGCTAATACAGAATAGTAAACTTCAAAGAAAAACACCGCTATCGTGTCACAAATATTGCATGTAGTTGAGTGTAACATTGAAAATTTTCACCCCTCGAAAACCATTGTCAACCTCGGCTGCGTCTCGGTTGACAATGATTTTCTTGGGGTGAAAATTTTCAATGTTACACTCAACTATATGCAATATTTAAATATTCACGCATTTTTCATGTAAAATCTAGAGAATATAAACTCCATTAACTGTTCCTATGTTAGCTTTATTGGCTGGTCATATTTTAAGGTTAAGAGGATATGTTCATCATATGGATATTGAAGCATTCCAATGTTGTGAGGATTCAATTTCGATTAAATTATAGCATTCTCAGGACTAGATTCTAGTTAACTTTATGGAGTAATTTTTTTCATGAAATTAAGGAGAAAGTATTTTTAAAAAAATCAGCGATAAAAACAGCAGGGTCAAAGTGACTCGGGTGAGCATTGTGGCCCATTATCTATGTTTATTTTAATCTCATAGGATAGAGGCTCCAAGTACTTCCATCTATATGTACGCTAAAGATGAGATCCGGATCACTGCACCAGCTGGGGACATGGCCATCAACAGTCTAAAGGAGATCCATATCAGGTCCAAAGACAGCATTGTGAGTATCACTAAGGACTGAACAGTACTCTATAGACAGATTAAAACAAGTACAATGTACCCAGTAATTTCTGTACTGTTTAACTAGAGCTTTTCTAAGTACCACCGTGAATATGCTTGAGCATAGAGTGTTTGACATGTCTGTCTTCCAACTTTCTGTCTTTCTGTCCATCCATTTTAATATCCAGCACTCACACTTTCAGTTTAGCACTCTGTCAAAGAAAGTTTTCAAGATATTTTATTCTACTACAGTCTACCACTGATCAACTGTCATAAATCTGACTTTAACTGACCATATGATTCAGACCTTATTTACTGCGTCTTTCTTTTAACTCAGTTTCAAAGTAATTATTCAATTACCCTTAGTACATAAGTCCTTGAACCTTTCCATGGTTCACTGGTTATCTCCTGAAAAAACATGACTTTTCTTAGTTTAAAAAAAAAATTGATAAGAGATATTTTCATCAAACTTCAAACAATTACATGTACAAAAATTGAGGAGAGCTATTCAACTTTGACAAAATGTTCTGACCTTGACCTCACCTATGACCTTGTCCTCCCTATTATTAATTAGTTTGTATTTAGAGAAGCTTAGAAGAAACTTTGTTATATTTTCATCAAACTTCATACATGTTATGATTGAAACTTCAAGATATTTTGATAAATGAATTTAAACCTTGTTGACATCTTGTAGGTCATTTTGGCATAAATACATGTATGGAGCTCTAACATTTTCCTTGAAATTATACTACAGTTCTGATTTCTGATGTTTGGTTGCAATAGATCGATTTTTTTCAACTTCAGAGTCTGGACTCGTCTAAGCTATTTATAAAGAACCTGAAGGTGGGTATGAGTCCTCCCCCAGGGCAGCAGACCCCCACGGTGTATCAGGTGTGTATGTGTAGTACAGGGCTCCTCTTCCTGGCAGATGCTGACAAACAGTGCCAGGGTACCAAGGAAATCTGCTCATAGACCATGGCAACCCCAGACTCACATGAGTGTACAATAATATATCAGGAATTCTTCAATTAAAATTATTGCCCATATACATGTTCTGTGTAGGAAAAAGAACAGAATTGTTTTTTGTTTTAATAATGCAAGTATCGGTACTTTGTAGATAGATGGTATCTGTATGTTAATTTATTTTTATCTCTCAGTAATATTCAGTATGCAGATAAAACTTTTTAAGTCATATCACATGAACCTCTAATAAGGATAAATTTAATGTATGTGTAGTTAAGATGTTTGTATTTTTTGATTTGTGTGTGTGTGTGTGTGTGTGTTGGATTGATTTAATGTAGTGAATGCAAAGTTGGCAGGAAGAGGGTGCCATTACTGAAGCTTTGAGATTTACAGTTACTGTAAACCAACTTTTATTCGCGAGTGAGAAATATTCGCAAGTTTTGTGACCTACTTTAAGTCGCAAATATTAATCGCTGCTAACCATTTATTTTGCTTTGTTTTTCGAAGAAAAGGTTTCCTTATTTGTGAAAATTAATTGTCTGGGATTGATTTCAAGCTGACGAATCGCGAATAAAAGATGACGCGAATAATAGTTGGTTTACAGTATGTGATACGCCAATTTGAACTACTGCTTTGCATCAATCATAAAAGTAAAAACTAAACCAGCTCTATGGACAACATGATTTGTAAAATTTTCTTTACTTTTATATTTTTAAAGTGCAATACTACATGTAATTTATTTATTGAATGGTAATATAAAACTTAACTTTAATTAATAATACTCAATCTAAAACTGTTTCTTTGGAATTTCCTATTGTGTTCATTGATTTTTTTAAATTTGTGCCATGTTAAAAATTATATGAAATAGTTTCATTGATTGTATAAAAAAGCAATATTTACATGTTTATATTTTTATAAATAAATAGATATTTATTTGAAATGTCAGATATATATTAAATTGTTTATATTGTTGTTTAATGGAGATAAACCGGTAGTTTTGTTTTCAGTAATTTCATTGTACAGATTGAACATGTCACAAAGTCTTCTCTGTTCCTTTACAATGTAACAGTTTTTTCCCCAATATAGAATACATTTAGAGGGAGTAGGTTATAGCTTTACTGTTCAAGATTTTCAGATTTTTTTAAAAAATCTTTAATTTTATATGTTTTGGACATGTACACTCAAATTTCATTTCCATATTTCTGAGAGGTGAGCTTGGCCATGTACATTTGCAGATACATGTACGTGTAATGTATTTAATTGCCTATATACATGTAGATATCTATATATGTAGATATCTATATCTCTCAGGTCCTACTGTAGCAGATTTTCTTTCCTTTGACCCAACATCATTCATACTTCAAATTAAGATTTTTTGAATAGAGAATGTTCTTGAAGTAAGTTTTTATTAGCTCTACTGGTCAGAGACCAGAAGAGCTTATGCGATAGTAAGGTGTCAGTCGTCCGTCCGTCTGTCTGTCTGTATGTCTGTCCGTCTGTCTGTAAACAATTTTTCAAAACGCTACTCCTCCTACAGTTTTGGTCTGATTTCAATATAACTTGGCACACAAGTAGACTACACTAAGATACATAAAACAGAGCATCGGTTTTTGATTTCGATGAACGGTGTTGCCATGGTTACTGAAAATAGAATTTTCTTTGAAATTCCTTTAAAACGCTACTCCTCCTACAGTTTTGGTCTGATTTCAATATTACTTGGCACACAAATAGACTACACTAAGATACATAAAATAGTGCATCGGTTTTTGTTTTCGATGAACGGTGTTGCCATGGTTTCTAAAAATAGAATTTTCTTTGAAATTCCTTTAAAACGCTACTCCTCCTACAGTTTTGATTTGATTTCAATATTACTTGGCACACAAGTAGACTACACTAAGATACATAAAATAGTGCATCGGTTTTTGATTTCGATGAACAGTGTTGCCATGGTTACTAAAAATAGAATTTTCTTTGAAATTCCTTTAAGATGCTACTCCTTCTACAGTTTTGGTCTGATTTCAATATCACGTAACACACAAGTAGACTACACTAAGATACATAAAATAGTGCATTCGTTTTTGATTTCGATGAACGGTGTTGCCATGGTTACTAAAAATAGAATTTTCTTTGAAATTCCTTTAAAACGCTACTCCTCCTACAGTTTTGATTTGATTTCTATATTACTTGGCACACATGTAGACTAAACTAAGATACATAAAATAGTGCATCGGTTTTTGATTTCGATGAACGGTGTTGCCATGGTTACTAAAAATAGAATTTTCTTTGAAATTTCTTTTAAACGCTACTCCTCCTACAGTTTTTAGCTCACCTGAGCCGAAGGCTCAAGTGAGCTTTTCTGATCACATTTTGTCCGTCGTCTACTTATGTTCGTCCGTGTAAAACTGTCCGTCTGTCTGTCTGTCCGTCTGTAAACTTTTTACATTTTCGACTTCTTCTCAAGAACCACTGGGCCAATTTTGACCGAACTTGGTACAAAGCATCCTTGGGTGAAGGGGAATTTAAATTGTTAAAATGAAGGGACATATCCCCTCGCAAGGGGAGATAATCAAGAAAAGGCAAAAATAAGGTTGGGTCATTAAAAAATCTTCTTCTCAAGAACCACTGGGCCAGTAAAGCTGAATCTTATGTGGAAGCATCTTGGGGTAGTGTAGATTCTAAATTGTTCAAATCATGACCCCCGGGGGAAGGGCGGGGCCACAATGGGGAATCTAAGTAGTATATAGAAATATATAAGAAAAATCTTTGAAAATCTTCTTCTCAAGAACCACTGGGCCAGAAAAGCTGAAACTTATGTGGAAGCATCCTGGTATAGTGTAGATTGTAAATTTTTCACATCATGACCCCCGGGGGAAGGGCGAGGCCACAATGGGGTATCAAAGTTTTACATAGAAATATATAGGGAAAATCTTTGAAAATCTTCTTCTCAAGAACCACTGGGCCAGAAAAGCTGAAACTTATGTGGAAGCATCCTGGTATAGTGTAGATTCTAAATTGTTCAAATCATGACCCCCGGGGGAAGGGTGGGGTCACAATGGGGAATCAAAGTTTTACATAGAAATATATAGGAAAAATCTTTGAAAATCTTCTTCTCAAGAACCACTGGGCCAGAAAAGCTGAAACTTATGTGGAAGCATCCTGGTATAATGTGATTCTAAATTGTTCAAATAATGACCCCTGGGGGAAGGGTGGGGCCACAATGGGGAATCAAAGTTTTAGATAGAAATATATAGGAAAAATCTTTGAAAATCTTCTTCTCAAGAATCACTGGGCCAGAAAAAGTGAAGCTTATGTGGAAGCATTCTGGGGTAGTGTAAATTCTAAATTATAGGAATCATGACCCCCGGGGGAAGGGCGGGGCCATTATAGGGAATCAAAGTTTTACATAGAAATATATAGGAAAAATCTTCTCAGGAACCACTGGGCCAAAAAAGCTGAAACATATGTGCCCATGGAGGGATCATGGGGTAGTGTAGATTTCAAAATGTCTAAATTATGATCAGTGGGGTAGTGTGGGCATGCATTAAGTATAACAAGGGGGAAATCTGGTAAAGAACAGAATGGTCAACGCTTCTCAGGTGAGCGATGTGGCCCATGGGCCTCTTGTAATTTGATTTTAATATTACTTGGCACACAAGTAGACTACACTAAGATACATAAAATAGTGCATCGGTTTTTGATTTCGATGAACGGTGTTGCCATGGTTACTAAAAATAGAATTTTCTTGAAATTCCTTTAAAACGCTAGTCATCCTACAGTTTTGGTCTGATGGCAATGGCTTCTTTTCTCATCCTTTGTTATAAGTACAAACCAGTAGAGCTACAGTCTCGACAGAGACTTCTGGTTTTTAAGTCAAGGCCAATAAAAAAAAAACAGTAAAATACGTATGTATTTAAAGATATATTTTCTCTCACTTTTTGGCCACTTTTGAAAATTCAAGTCTTGGAGTAAAAGTCATGTACTTAGTAACCTTTTTCAACTTAACTTTAAACTTAAAAGGTCTCTCTGACCATGTACGTATTTCTATCCCCTTGAACAAATTTTGTTCATACTCTATCCCTTGAAGTGTTCTTCCACTGTTCATGGGCCAAGGTTATATATTCTGACTTTATAATCAAAAACAGAGAACTCCTAGTGAATTATTTATTTGGTTTTCTTTCTTAGACCATTCTACGGCACTGTCAAGGTGAAATCAAATTTATATTCTAAATGCCACATTTAACAGTAATTTTAATGCAGTTCACTATATTGTTCCTGTATGCAGAAAACAATGTAAATAGAATCTTTTAATAAAAATAATTTTAACTTTACATGTATATGCAATATTTCTACATTTATGATATATTCATTACTGATTATTGTTAATACTTTACATTTATTTTTTTTAATGTAAAACCTGTCATTCTCATAGTTATTAATCATGGTGCTACCGGTATATTTCTACTTATGGTTGTTAAACCTCTTTTGTAATGCTCATTTTTGGAACTGTGAATAGAAATAAATGTTGTAATTTTGTACTTGTAAATATACTCCCCTTGTATTTTCAAAAGGTACATGTACTTAGTAGGGATGTGCGATTTTATCGATATATCGCGATTTTTTGTTGCGTGAAACGTATCGTGATATGGAGACCTAAATACCTGTATTTAGGTACGTTTTAAAGTCCAGAAATTATTCATTTATTTGTTCAATCTTTCAAATTACAATTACAGAAAGTCTAAAAAATATTGTAAAAAGATGACAAGAATGGCATCTTACCATCCAAACATTAATTTTGTTTGCATAAAAATTTCAAAAAAGTGAAATTCCGTTTTTCTGGCATAATTTTAAGAAAAATGATGACTATATATTCATTTAAAATCATTGTTAAAATTGCTTGTAAAAATATTATGATATGATCATGACATTTTGGGGAAAAATCGTGATTTATCACAATAAAAAATTTTTAGCGATACCCATCCCTTTTAAAAAGTTTATGCAATGACAGTGTCTTTGGATCCATCCCATAAATGCGTGTTAATAAGATTTCAAACTGCAAATTGATCCTTCTATAGCTTTTGTCATTTTTTCAATAAAATGTTGTCCAAGTATATAGATGCATGCATAATTCTACTTATAAATTTTCTATTTTATATAAATTTTCTATTTCAATGAAAGATGTTGCTACTGTTACTAAACATAAACTTGGTAAATGCCTGTTATTGATTTCAGAATGCTATTTCGTACAGGTATTGTTTTTACAAAATTATTGTTTTTTGATCGATTTACATGTAAATGAAAAACTGCCTTTACTTCTTTGATAACAATTCAAGAAAGGAATGTTAAATATGCTCATACTACTTCATTTAAAATAAGCAGAGCTACTGTATAAACAGAGACTTTATACGAGATTCTTGCTATAATGATAAACTTGATGTGTGTCAGTATTACAGGTATACTTAGTCTAAAATTTATGTATATTTTTGTAGGATTGTATAGATAAGAGTATTTTCATTTCCTTTTAGATACTATATTTATACATTTGTAGAGAAAATTACATGTATTTAATAAATCATTTTTTCTTTAAATTCCGTTTATAAAAATTTTTCAGGAAAGCAAATACATGTACAAGTATTGCCGAGTTTGAGTGTTGATCAAGCATATGAATAAATGTACAGGTATCATGCTACCGACCTTGGGTTTTTTTACCGAGTGGGCAAGCAAGCATCTTTTTAATGGCCTGAGCAGTCAGCATGTAAAAAAAAAATAAAAGTTGTTAGCTCAACTGAGCCGAAGGCTGAAGTGAGCTTTTCTGATCACATTTTGTCCGTCATCCGTCCGTCTGTCCATCTGTCTGTAAACTTTTCACATTTTTGACTTCTTCTCAAGAACTACTGGGCCAATTTTGACCAAACTTGGTACAAAGCATCCTTGGGTGAAGGGAAATTTAAATTGTTAAAATAAAGGGCCAAATCCCCTCACAAGGGGAGATAATCAAGAAAAGACAAAAATAAGTTGGGGTCATTTAAAATCTTCTTCTCAAGAACCACTGGGCCAGAAAAGCTGATACTTATATGGAAGCATCCTGGGGTAGTGTAGATTCTAAATTGTTCAAATCAGACCCCCAGGGGTTGGGTGGGGCCACAACGGGGAATCAAAGTTTTACATAGAAATATACAGGTCCAGTCCAAAGACTATTTCTACCTACATAGCTATTAATAGCTACCTAGGATATTTAAAGCTACCCAAAGTAGCTATTTTTACCTACTTTCTGATTTACTTGCATTTTGTGGCCAAATGCAGGAGCGGCGCAATATGGTAAGCACAAAGTTTCTTAATACAGTCACACTGGTGATGGATATAACAAAAATGTGGCTAAAAAATGATTTCTTCGTATTTATCAATTTTGCACAGAAACTAATGTAAAATTGCCGATTCAGGAAGTAATCATTTTTTGGCCTAAATTTTGTTGTATTCATCATTAGTGTGACTGTATCAAAAAATATGTATTCACCATGTTGCGCCGTTTGGTCTTTTGGCCGCAAAATGCAGAAAATATAAAAAGTAGGTAAAAATAGCTACTTTGGGTAGAATTAAATACCTAGGTAGCTATTAATAGCTACGTAGGTAGAAATAGTCTTTGGACTGGACCTGATATATAGGAAAAATCTTCTTCTCAAGAACCACTGGGCCAGAAAAGCTGAAACTTATAATGGAAGCTTCCTGGGGTAGTGTAGATTCTAAATTGTTCAAATCATGACCCCCGGGGGTTGGGCGGGGCCACAATGGGGAATCAAAGTTTTACATTGAAATATGTAGGAAAAATCTTTGAAAATCTTCTTCTCAAGAACCACTGGGCCAGAAAAGCTGAAATTTATGTAGCAGCATCCTGGGGTAGTGTAGATTTCAAATTGTCTAAATTATGATCCGTGGGGTAGGGTGGGGTCACAATATGTATTACAAGGGGGAAATCTGGTAAGGGACAGAATGGTCAAAGCTTCTCAGGTGAGCGATGTGGCCCATGGGCCTCTTGTTTTAATGTTAGTCTATCTAGTACATTCATAATTATGAGCATTTTAATCACGACAGGCAAATTTCAGTAGGACTGGTAATTTTTTTTAAGAGTACCGGTAGCTAGCCCTGTGGCAGCTGCAATTTTCAGCAAGTTTCCAACTATGTTCTAATATATTCTAGGTTTAATATTTTAGTATTACTGACAAGTTTATGTAATGCCTCTATCTTGATTCATGTATACTCTTTAGTAATTATTGTTCATGAAAAAGGTAATTCTGACTGTACCAAGTAAAGTATGGACCAGATACATTAATTATAGACTTTCATAGAATGGAAGACGATGCATATCAATAAACCTTTTATTGAAATTCAACTAAAAGTAACAACATGTAAAGAACTAAAACATTCTTACATATAAACTGTAGCAAACTACAAGTTTGACAAAATGAGCACTTACATGTAAATTTAGATATTCCATAAATATATCTCAGAAACAGATGTAAACATGAAACTTTTTAGACCAAGATTGTGTATAAATACATGTACTGTATAACCTGCATGAACACTGATGGTAGGGAATTATATAACTCAGATATAAATAAATAAATACAATATGTGTAGCTCAGATTTGAATGGCTCACTAACCATCTTTATTATTATTGAAAACAAAAATGTAAAGAAATCAAGTCTTCATGCATAAACTACCATTGAGAGACCCTGGACTTCTTGTCACAGAACATTTTATCCTTTTTAGTAGAGTTTACTGGACATAAACATTGAATGTAACCATGGCAATATGGGCATAGGTAGCACTCTATCAAAATAATTAAATAAATGTACACTTGTATACAAACTGTACATATGGCAAAAATAGCACAATTCTTCTAAAAAAATAATGTATACAATAGGAAAACATATTGCACAATATTAAAGGATGGGTTTTAAATTTTTTTTAAAAAGGGAAAAAACATATATACATGCATATATACAAACTACTAAACAAATTCCTTGCTGAATGTGGAATGAAAAATACTCTACAAAAGCATTAAGTAAAACAGCTTTGCACAAAGTTCCAATATTAAAACTTCTCTGATTCTAATAAAAATAAATAAACCACGGCAAAAAAATCTCTCATCCAGCTTCTCTTTGAAGATGTAAAATCATTATATTTTTTTTAGTTTCCTAGGGTAACTTAATCCAATATCTGTTGATCTTGACAGAGACAGTAAAACCTGTCTAAAACAACATGCCCAGAGAAAAATTTTGTGTCAAAATAGACAGGTGTTGGATTACATAGAGTAAAGATCATACAAAAAATGGTAAATGGGAATGAAAAGAAAGGTTGAATTCGCAGTGAAACCGACTAGCCAGTATCAAGTGTACAATGGCAATATGTTACCTATACTATGTGAATTATTAGTATTACTGAATTCATTTTTGACAGTGTTTTCTAAGAATCCAAACACAATTGCAGTTCTACCTTTTTGATTCTATCAGAAACTGTTAAAAGTATATTGTACCAGAATTTGAGAGACTAAGGATTGTGAAATAGCAGTTGTGTTTTGTTGTGGGTGGCTGTTCAAGTCAGAAACAGTGTAGTTGATGAGGTGGGTTGCTGTAATTCTGCAAGGGTTGCTGTATTTTGTTGCTAATTGCTGATCCTGTCATTATCTCTACTTAGTAGACAGTGGGGTGCTGTAATTCTGAGAAGTCTGTTGCATCATGTTACTGAATGTGGATTCTGTCAATAACACTGTAATTTACAGATGATGGGTTGCTGTAATTCTGTAAAAGCTGTATTATTTTGCTGGTTGTTGATTCTCAGTAACACTGCTGTTGACAGATGATGGGTTGCTGTACTACTAAGGGCTGGTATATTATGTTGCTGGTCATTGATTCTGTCATTAATACTGGTTGACAGAGTTTGGGTTGCTGTAATTCTGTGAGGGCTGATGTTGCTGGTCGTTGATTCTCAGTAACACTGTAGTCGACAGAGTTTGGGTTGCTGTAATTCTGTGAGGGCTGATGTTGCTTGTCATTGATTCTGTCAGTTACACTGTTGTTGACAGAGATTGAGTTGCTGTAATTCTGTGAGGGCTGATATTGCTGGTCGTTGATTCTCAGTAACACTGTAGTCGACAGAGTTTGGGTTGCTGTAATTCTGTGAGGGCTGATGTTGCTGGTCGTTGATTCTCAGTAACACTGTAGTCGACAGAGTTTGGGTTGCTGTAACTCTGTGAGGGCTGATGTTGCTGGTCGTTGATTCTCAGTAACACTGTAGTCTACAGAGTTTGGGTTGCTGTAATTCTGTAAGGGCTGTATTATTTTCCTGGTTATTGATTCTATCACTAACACTGTAATTTACAGAGGTTGGGTTGCTGTACTTATGTGAGGGCTAATGTTGCTGGTCATTGATCCTATCAATAACACTGTAGTTGACAGACGTAGGGTTGTTGAGTTGGCTGGAGTTTAGCTGGGGGACAGTAACAGTAGGCTAGTCCCGCCCCTGCTCTACACTGACTTATATCGTTGGCAGTTTCCCATCTGTATAATATACATACAATGTTTGAACAAATCAAATGGCATTATTCATAATTGTTGTAAATATACCATATACTGATATTTGTGAGTAGATGTAATAACAGGTCAAGGTCTACTTTGGAAGAATTAAGTTTTGTTTTGAACAACACAATTAATTTTATTTTTCTCTTAAAAATATAATATTGAATTTAAACCTAAAGTGAAAGCATTATTTTATATACTGCAGATGTTTGGCTTTTTCTTTGCACATATTGAATATCATATAAATGGATGATATCTCCTCAAACTGATTTCTGAAATTTTTACAGATATGCATAGCAATTCCTTTAGGAAAAAAAACTTCTGAAGCTAATATAACATTGTTAAAACATTTTAAATTCAACATGCAGTAAACCATATACTGATTGCTACATGACTGCTATTACTCTTATCTAAATCTAATGTTGATAAAGAACATTCCATTGATTCAGTGTATTAGTACTACATTCTGACATGCAGGTAAGGGTACCTGCACATATGCCAGCGGAGAAAAGCATGGCAGAAGTATAGGAGGCGTAAGATATTCCTGCCCCGGCGCGGCAATTCCCAATACTACTGACAAAACACCACCTTGTAAGCAAAAATAACAAAGCTATAGTATTACAAGTTTATGACAGAGAAAAAATTAATAAGAGAGTCACGTGAAGCAGGAGATATATTCAGTAGTTTAAATTTTTTATGGTTAAAGCATTGTAAAGGTAAAAGCAAGCATAGAAATAAACTAAAACTTCACTAAACTATCAAATAAAGAATTTATATTATGCCCAATACATTCCAGTAAATGATAGGGAAAGCATTTTAAATGTATATACTAGATACAACTCACTTGTCCTCAATGGGGTCATAGGACTCAACAGAGCTCAAATAATTAGAGCCATCATGACCCCCTACTGCATACATCTGACCCCCAAGGGAGGCAACTCCCACTCCTCCCCGACAACAAGACATACTGGTAACAAAGGTCCAGGTATTAGTGTGGGGGTCATACCTCTCACAGGAGTCCAGTGGGGAACTGTCGTCAAATCCTCCTGTTAATCATTTCAAAATGTTAGATATACCACAAAAAATCGGGTGTAAGATAGGGCTGATATACATGTAACTGTAACATTATTATGTCTGACTTCTCACCTACTACATACAGGTAACCATCTAACTCTGCTACCCCTGCCCCTGCTCTGTGACGATTCATGGGTGCAATAAAAGTCCACTTGTTAAGGAGTGGATCATACTTCTCACACTTGTCTAAGGAAGAAATGCCATCATTCCCACCGACAGCATAAATATTATCCTAAAACATAAAACAGGTGGAGTTATTCAGATACTGAAAAATATTCGATCTGTTCTTGCACATCTATCTTATATTTTACAGTGTTATTAAATATATATGAACTTAATCCTCAAGGAATGAACAAAAACTTAACAAAAGCAGGAATCAATCAAAACAACGACATGCACGACTATTGCATCAGCCGTAATATGGATGCATATGTAACATCATGAAGTTTGTTAAATGCGCAATTCCAATTAAATTTTGGTTTGAAAATGAAATGAAAATTATTGATGAATGATCATGAAAGAAAAAAGGAGAGAAATGACATAATTTTAACTAGAACTGTCCAAACGGGACAAAATACCCCCCGCTGGGTTTTTCAGAAGTAAGTTTTTTCATAATAAAGATATGTATCACACATGAATTATGAAATTTTTCTTCCAGTGACCTTGAACTTCCCCAAATGACCTTGGGTCAAGGTCATGACACGCCCTTGGGACATAGGCAATCTTTGCATGAAATGAGAACCTACCAAGTTTATCCATAAAAAAGATGTAGACCGGACACGAATTATGAAATTTTTCTTCCAGTGACCTTGAACTTCCCCAAATGACCTTGGGTCAAGGTCATGACACACCCTTACATCATGGGCAATCTTTGTGTGGAGTAGTAGATTCTAATGTCCCTCCATAAGAAAGATATGGACCGGACACGTTTGCACAGACAGACTGACAGACGGACAAGGTGATTCCTATATACCCCCCCAAACTTCGTTTGTGGGGGGTATAAAAATATACGTATTAATTTTTTTCCGTATCTCGAAAGTCAACTTTGTACCGTTCCGGTTTGGAGTTTGTAGTGCGTATTTCGTATCCTGTTCTGACAGAGCTAGTGGCACGCGGATCGAATGCTGGATGGAAAACGGTTTTTAGTAAAATGAGAAGATTTCGATAAAAAAGAAAGCATTTCATAAATAACATTTGTGAATATATAACTTCTTAGATTTTCTAATAAATATAGAAGGATAGCTGAAACAAATGATCTGCAGTCTAACTGAAGGTCCCTGTAATTACACGTCTGTTCCGTTTAGATCTATGGTTTTACTATGAAGTAAAATTAAGGACGTCGAGTCTCAACTCTGATATCTCGACACCTCGGATATCTCGACATTTTCCGACTGTCCCGTCGATGTCGAGATAACGAAGTTTACCTGTATATTGTATCTTTACAAGCCACAAGTTTTTGGTCCACTTCGCTCTCCACAGAGAAGCTGTCCAGGAGCAAAGCAGACCAAAAATCCTTGGCTTGCAAAGATGGTAATATAGAGGAGCAGCTGATTCAACACAGATTATGACTTACTTTCAATGCAGTAACCCCCACTCCACCTCGAGGAATATTCATACTGGCTACCATTGTCCACTGGTCAACAGACGGGTCATACCTCTCCACCAGACTGTAACAGGTGGAATCGTCCAGTCCCCCCACAGCATATATAGCTGACCCTAGACAAGCCAGGGCTATCCCCCTCCTACAAAACACATATATCACACACAAGAACTCAAAATGCTGATAGGTGACCCTAGATACACCAGGGCAATCCCCCTCCTACAAAATACAGTCATTGAATCATAAAAATGAACAAGAAACTATTGATCAAAAGTTCTATGTTTGTTTGAATTAATGTTGATATTTTCTTGACAATTAACTTAATTTTTTGTTTATTTTCCTTTATTCTACTACGTCTACAAATTTACTCAAAAGCATAAATAAGCTTAATTGATACATGTACGTTAATCAAATCAGGAGTTTGAAAGGAAATATGTAAATGTACCCTTGGAAAAGTTATTAGCTTCATTAATGACCTCAGTACTGCCGACTTACCTTGGGGTAGACATAGGTTTTACTGAGGTCTTCCAGCTGTTTAAGGCAGGATCAAACACCTCACCACTCTTCAAGTGTTTGGTACCATCATGTCCCCCAATAGCATACAACAAACCTGAAATATATAAACAGAATCATGCACTATAACAAGGCATTAACACAATTTCTGTGGAAAAAAGTTTTATAAAGCACACTTTGGTGTGGACAGGAGACTTTTAAATTTCTGATAATTTATGTGCATGTTGTGTATCAGTTTTCAAGAAGGATAAATAAGTTTGAATATATTCTGAATTTTTTCTGAAAGGTGATTTAATACAGACCAAATACACACAGCATCATCCCTTATTTTGTTCAAAGCCCTGTCTAAAAACAGACATATCAAAGTATGTAACAATTCGCTAGACTAACCTCCAGAACAGCACACTCCCACATGGCGCCTCCTGGTGTTCATTTCACTGACCTGGAACCACCTATTTCTGCGGGGATCATACACTTCTATACTCTTGAATGGGTCCCCAGAGGCCCCCCTTCCCCCAACACAGAACAGCACACCTGTCAAAATACAAGAACTTGTGAACATTTTGTGACCATCATAATTTGAGTATTCACATGCATTCTTTTTTACAATTTTTATGAATTTTGCAAAACAAATAAACCTAAGCAATTATTAGTTGAATACTGTACTTTGCTAGGAAACATTTAAAAATTTTGTATAACCTGCGTAGTTTTTCCTGGGCCTGGTGTTCTGGGATATTCTAACATTGGAGACCAGACTGGCCAGAGACATTTGATACGCCTTAGCCTCGTCTACATAGTCTCGACATTCCAGGTCTCTCCTGATCAGCTCCTCTGTAGCCACAGTCTGCAGTAAGTAATCCGGGCTCAGTAGTGGCAGCTTTATTTTGGCTATCAGCTTCCCCAAATAACACTTCCGATTCTCAATGTCCATTTTGATCCACTTCATTACCCCCTCGTATACTTGATTCTCATTCTCCACGTTAAGATCTGGGGAGGATACCAATTTTTCCATGAGGTCAAAGGGCAGAGTTTTAAATTCCTCCGTATCAACCACCTCCAAGAAGTTCTCCAAAATATAATCATCTGCCATTTTGATTAACTCTATTCTATTATGCTGGTGGGCAAAATTGTGAACTCCAATACAGTTAGTAGGATGAAGGTGTTTCTTCATGAATTCACAACAAGCTTTAGCAACAACTTCTATCTGCAAAATGGAGGCTGCATACAGAATGGGCTGGACATTTTCAGTGGTGAGCTGAATTTTTGCTGTATAGGCATATTGCACTAACATCTCCATGGCACTCTCGTCAATGTCATGAATGGTGACCTCTCTCTCTCTGCTCTCTGTCATTTCCGACATGAACATGGTGCGAAAATAATTACTGACAGAGGAAAGTATGACTCGATGACAGGCAAAGGTTTTCTCCCCAACCTTAATCTCTATGTCACACAACTGACCCTTTAAGTAATAGTCATGAAATGTCTTGAAGCAGTTCCTGTAATGATTTTTGGACTCGAATTCCTGGTTAACAGACATCTCAAGATTCAGCTGATCAACAGTGGCCATCTTCTTCAAGCTTCCGGCCTTTCTCTCAGCCTGGGACTCTGTAAGCTGGGGTTTAGGGGGGATGGGAGGGGTGCTTTGGTACTCTGGTAAACTGTCAGATCTGTGTGGGAGAGGGGGTCCCTGGGCCATGTCCATTTATTCCTTCTACTAATCTGTTGATGTCAAGAAAGATGACTTTTACTTCTAACTGCAAAGCTGAAGTTCCATGGCAAACCCTTATCACTCATCTACTGGTAAGCCTACAGAATTTAAGTACAGTGTGATTAAGTTTTTTTCAAAAATAACAATGTACCGGTATAAAATATGGTTTAATAATCAAACTCATAAAAAATAACTAAGAAAACATGAGCGTAACAGCCCAACAGCCGTAATAAACATCTGAGTAAGACAGATTAGGGTATAGTCCTCGCAACTTATTCAACTGATTAGGTTAGTCTTGCATTCACTCAAAAGAATGATACGATCAACCAGTATATGGATAAAATAGTACTTGTAAAATTCCTACTTGCACATATCCCAACATTTACTCCAACTCCCTCAAGGCTCATGTATACTTACCCGTTTGACATTTCGCTATTAATCTAAATATAAGATAGGTATATTCAAACGTTTCAATATTCAGATATTATTTTTGTGGAAATAAAGAAATGATTGATCCAAAATTTTGACACACTGCGTTTTGGCTGTTGACCATTTGTCAATGCAGAGAAAATTCGGAATGACAGTATGTTGTTTACCTTGCAGCCTGTGATATTTCAACCATAAATCTTATTAGACAGACAACGCCGAGGCTTTTGAGACATAGATTCTCTTCCTCCCAGTCCTCAACACCAGTTTATCTCGTAGATTGATGCTTCCTTCTACAAGCTAGCATCTTCGGCAACTCAATTTACACTAATTACGCATGCGCAATGAATACTTCAGGCGCGGATCAAGTGGTAGGGACGGTCAACCCCGTCCCCGCCAAAAAAGGTTTAAAGTGGGGGGGGGGGGGGGAGGAAGGAGGAAAAACTAAAGAAAGAGAAGTAAAAAAGAATTTATCTTTGTTTCTTTAAAAGAATCTGTTTGATCTCTTTCAAAAGTACAATAAAAATTTATTCAACTTGGTAAAAAAAAAAAAAAAAAAAAAAAAATTATTTTAAATGTCTAAAAACATTTTTTCTTTGATTTCAGGAGAAAACACATATTCGCTAGCCAAGGGTTTCTGATTCGCTACTCGAGGAGAGTAGCATGTCAAGTGAAACCTGTTCTGTATGGAAAGCCGTAGCTAGGGTACCCCCACATTATTTAACAGACAAGATAATAATTGTTGCAGGAAAATAATAATAATGTTGTAAAAAGCAAGTTTGAATGAGATTATTATTTTTGGTATAATTATATAGGAAAAAATAATAATAATGAGGGGGTACCCTACGGCTTTCCATAGTTCTGAATACTCAGTAGCTTTAATCATTAAGTGTATGTTACAGAGTCATTAAAACTTTTTTGTAACCTTCAGAACAATAATTAATAGTAAACACAGGCACCTGACGTTAACTATTTTTCAAAATTCTCTCAATCATTTACATAATTTTTTATGAATCCTTTGTTTCTGTCATATTTTGTAGTACACTGAAGTCAATGTAAACTACAAATGGTATAAAATTATAGAGTTTCTCTACTGTAGTTTTCGGACAATAAAACCTCAGTCGGCTCCCTTAATCTAGATCATAATAAATTTATCGTCAGTATTTTCATTTCTACACTTATATATGTTTTTTTAATTTTAAAAACACATTGTTAACAATTATTGTGAGGTCAATTTCAGTCCGTTTTTATTTTTTTTTTATACTAAATTACTGTTATAAATTAAACTACTAAGCTAAATGATATGCATAATTATACTTATCAAAAGCGTCAGAACAGATGGGGGGGGGGGGTCTAGGAGGGGACTAAGCAGCTTAACCCCCTTTTGAAAAGATTTTATATAAAAAATCCATTGAAAACTGGATCTTACCTTTTTTAGTTTAGACCGTCGCTACTTTCAAAATGCCTCCGACACCAATCTTGGTTAATATTAATGAGAATAATTTATGAAATCATCATGGCAAAATTTGAAACTTCAAATTGCATTGATTCTTTAATGTTTGATATACAATGTATAACATTTGTATGTTGCGTATAATGTACGTGTGATATTGCTCTTCAGACATATGAGCCACAAAAAATGTTTTATATTTATCAATGGAAAATACAATGTATGTTAAAAATAAAACTATGATTAGTATGACTGGTTTAAGACCAGATACTGTAGCATGAAGAATGTGCAATGCTTTTGTGCAATATAAATGCCTTCTTACATAGCTTGTTTATCACTCAACAATTACATGTATGTGTATGAAATTAATAAGCCAGTGGACTATATTGGACTAAGCAGTCCCAGAAAAATTGACATCCCTACTTTTAATACTACATGTATGAATACTACTTGATGGAGCTCTTCTTTGGGAGAAAGAAAAGCCCAAAGCATGCTCCGCTCAGACTCTCATTCTTTCTATGTGTAGGCTTATTAAATTAAAGGAAAGAATTTTAACATTTATTAATTCTTTCCTTGTTTAACACAACTGATAGTGCCTCGGGTATAGGAGGCACTTGTAAAGTCTGTAGTATAGCATATCATTATAATGTAGACATTTCCTGACATTATGTAAACTTATTTGGGGGGATATACATGGGTATAGAACATTATATCAAACAGAAAAAAGACTAAAGTAAACCAAAACAAATACAATTTTAAAATAATTTTATTTACAGAAGAATTAAGAGGTATACATAAAATAATAATTACATAAATTGGCACAGTTAAAAGAACTGAATATGTATCAAAAAATAACAAGTGGGACCCTCAAATTAATCAGACATTAGCATCTTCTGTGTCAGTTTTTGTGGAAGAAATGTTTACTTCCTTGAACATCAACAATAATTATTGTAATTACTGTTGTATATTGGAATTATGTTAAAGGTATGTAAAGGTATATATGCTTATATTTACAATGAAATGCAACACAAACTCATGATTTTTCTGTTAGTTGATCAGATGTGTTGTGATTCCAACCACAAGCAAACACCAACAAACAGACAGACAAGCCATGTATAGTCTGTTATACTGATACACAATAACATTGAAATAAAATATTTTAATTTTATACATATCACATTTCAATATCCCTGGATTGGCATATTATATAAAGCAGTTTTATCTAATTGTTTGACTTCCACCTCCTTAAATTGCACACTTGGTTCTCTTGACAAAGGCAGTGGATTGTCTGAAAGTAAATTAAATATTTTCTGATAATTTATTTAAGAATTATCTTATTCATGATATAAATTGATTGATTGTGTATTACCAGTCTGTGACATAAAGTTGGTGTATTTCAGCAGTTTTATACATGGGAGTATACAATGAACAGGGATTGAACAGCAGGCAAAAAGTGGCTATATTTTAAAGTTCTCTCCATTAGAGTGAAAGGATAATTTGAGAATTAAAGGAAAATATCTAATAAAAGTTTACTTCAAATATTAAGATTTAAGAACCTTTTGTCATCATATCTTCCATTTTACAATATATTACATGAATATGATGAATACCTAGCTTTGATTAATTTGTCATGTATTTTTGCTTCTTTGATTAATTTGATAATTGACTTCTTGACCTCCAAACATTTGTTTTGCATACCTTCTCCTCCTGGCTTCTGACTAGGGTCTACAGTAAAGGTGTGTTGTGTGCTTTCAGCATCAAAGGTGGGTTGAGAGGGTTGGGGAGGGGGCCTCCTTATACACCTCTCTCCCAGTGTGGGCTTAACATTGAATCTATCTGGATTCTCCTGCCTCTCCATGTTTCTGTGTTGAATATGTTCATTGATAATTTTCTGGGCCTATAAAAATACATAAATACAGGTTATTTATAAAACTTTCTGTAACTTTGTTTCAGTGTTTGTTCTTTAGATAATTGATATAATACTATTCAAAGTCTATTCAAAGAGCAAAAAAGTACATGCCAAAATACTGAACAATTTTCCATCTTATCCTAAACTGCTCAAGATTGTTAACTTTGAAATTGTTGAGGAATATTAAGAATGTGACATCATATTGTATCAATATGACTTTTTAAACAACATTCTTTTATGTTCAAAACTTAAGAAAAGGGTTGATAAGCTCCCTGCTCTCAAGAAAGAGGAATGCAGAGTTGTCACCCTTGGGTTTCAGAATACACAGAAAATTTAATTCAATTCACTGAATTCTGAAACCATTGTAATCCCTGCTTTTGACATTTTTCCATTTTTCTGTATACATTTACCTTTTGAGCACTGAGTATAAGGTTAGGGTCAGCCATGGTCTCTGTGATACGTAGATTGTTTTTAATGGCTTTGGATGCTGTTGACCTGGCATGCATTGGAAGCTGCATCTGATAGGCACTGTCTGTAAAATCCACCTCAAACTCTGGGTTCTGTTTCTTTGTTCTGAGAAGGCAATATTTCAATAATTATTTCAAAAATCAACAGTTTACATTTACGAGGGTCGTTCAAAAAATACGTAGACAATGCTTCTCATCGTCATATGATTGTTACAAGATTATAGATCAACACATTTTCGTAAACATAAACATTTATTTTGTCGAAGTGTGAAGTCTCATTCTATTTGATTAGATAGAACTCATGTTAGCCAAAATTTAAATCAACATGTTTTGTTACCACGGAGCACGGTTTACCAATATTGTAACGTCAAAATCAACGCTGGGAAAGTTTGTCAAAAGTATACTCTTTTTTTTTATATTTCAAACACCGTTTTTTAGCGTCTTCTCCATTCAAAACACATATCCACAACACTTAACACCTAGTTTGCTAACAATTGTACAAATATAGCTTGAATTAGAATGTTATTGTTTTCAAATTCTTTAATTTACCATGCAACTCTATTATTTCTGCAACATTGAAGCACACATTACGTTCAATGACGTTCTTACTCTTTTGGCAATATTTTTAACTTTAACCTGTTTCTTTGCAGTCGATCCATCGTCCGATTCAAACTTGCTACCACTCAAAAATTGTATTTTCAATTTAATACAAATACACAGATTATTTTTCATACAGATCCTGGTTTAAAAGGATTTTTTAAGCTTGTAGAAGAAGTTTCTTGAATGTAAAGTCTAATTTTATTGCTACTTGCTGCTCCGTGACGTCCTCCAACGTCATGGTTTTTTGCCTTTTTTAATCAAGTCTATATGTATTTAGAAGCTGATATCTTTAAAATGGAGCGAGATATTACATAACCTGATTTCATTTAAATTATTACAACAATACTTTATTTAAACATGTAAATTTTATTTCGTTTCAGCTCCAATTATTAAAGGTATAGCTGTAAATACTATAAAGTGAAAATTAGAAAATTACTCAATTTTGACGGTGCTCCGTGACCCCATTTTTGCTGTTCTAAATCCTTCGTAATTTTAATAAATATGAAGATACATTCTAATTCTTTTACTCAAATTATTTGAATCTGTTGTTAAAACATTTGTACCAAATTTGGATATAATATGACGTTAAATAAAAAAGTTAGGACAAAAGTCTACGAACTTTTTGAATGACCCTCATATATTATAAAATATAAACTGACAAAGTAATTCAATCACTGCATTTTTATAATTTTATACATTTTTTACAGTGTATAATTTTTATTTCCTGCCTATTACCTAGACAATGTGGCTGGACTAATTACTGCAATACTGCAGGTCTCTTGTAATCATGTTAGAAATAAGAATTCAGTCTGTATGTGATGTTAAAAATTGAACTAATAACTCCCCCCCCCCCAAGTGAGATGTCTTAGTTCTTCTTTCCATCTTCCAGTGTCATACTTGTTA